TGAAGAATACCATTCTAATACTTATATTACCCTTAATTTACGGGGCAACGAACGCGGCCCAACTTGAAGTGGGGGAGGACCGCCCTGAGAAGGCTCAGGCTAGGGCTGCGTGGGTGACTGCGACAGGCTGCTTTTTTGTATGCCCAACCTCCCAAATTCCTCGGACTGCAGTTCCTCGGGTATATCGGTTGTGTGATAATCCTATCGGTGTGTGTTGGAGTCTGCTCATTTGTTTAGACAAGTCCTGCTCCGGAATACAGAGTTCCTGTATGCTCATGCTCTGCTGTATCAAGTCCTCCGTAGAACGGAGTATCAGAGTAATTATCGATTGGATTTTATTGTTTTCATTTCTTTTTCTCTTGCGACTACGGAGTATAGTATGTAAAAACAAAAGGACCAAAAAGAAAAGAAAATCCACCCAAATAAACAGAGTCGATTTTCCACAATCTAAATGTATTGGTGGATACAAGCAATAACCAATAACCATTACCATTACGGAGCACCTTAGGGTATGTATGTATTTTTGAGTCTAGACAATACGGTAAATAACCAGGAACCAGCTCTCCACAGCGATTTTCTGATTGGACCATCGTAAGAGGATCCCGTTATTTCGCAAAACAAGAAGGTCTTTTGGGCCTTTTTCCTCATCGACCATACGTGTATTGACTCCATCCCCAATAGTCCCCTGCAAAATGCCCACTCTTTCCCCTCTCGCGTCCTCGTGCGGATATCCTTTTCTATCTGCTTTTTCCTCTTTACCTTTTCTCTACAATTCAAGATTCAAAGGTATTCGTGATTGCACCTCCGGACGGTGTACAACTATATCAATCCACACCCCATCATCATCATCAGCATCATCATCATCACCCTCCTCCACTTCTCCCCCCATCTGGAACCAGGTGGACTGATCTGCGCCGGCCTAACGTGGTTAATTTACCGTCCCCACGGCGCCGTCCTGGAGCTTAGAGCTGTCAGCGCGTCAGGGGCTTCCCACGGCCTCCGATCGCTCGAGTTCCCACCCTAAACGGGTCTTCTCCTATTCTGGGTGGAATTCCTTTTTATTGCTTCGTGCCCGTTCTTCTTTGGTCTGGTCATAGAACCTTTCCCCCCCTCCCTCCATCTCCCCCTCCTCCTTTCCAACTACACCGTCATTCCTTACATCTTTAATGGGAGTGACTCCCTCCTTGCTCAACATCAGACAACACATTCGGATGATGATCACTCACCCACAATTGAACATCCTATCCCTCCCTCTCTAAATATACATTACTCTCTCGTGGGAATCCAGCCCCTCTAATGTGAGTGAGCACCAACCACCAATCAACCATGTCGCGCCTGACGCTAATCCCCTCCAAGATACACATACACTCTTCATCTGCTGGCAGATCCGGAGAGCCAAGATGACTGTCACATACGATACCCCCTCTCGGGCAAACCACACATCAATGGCGACCCTCGAGGACCGCTTCCAGGTGATGAAGGAAGTTGGTGATGGTAGTTTCGGTAGCGTGGCCGTGGCCCGTGTACGGACTGCCGGATCCCATATTGCGCGCAGAGGAACCATGGTATGAGAATAATCCACAACAATCTGATGCTGATGTGTGATGATGACCATACTGACCAGACATCCTCTCCTTCAGGTTGCTATCAAGACGATGAAAAAGACCTTCGATTCATTACAGCCATGTCTAGAACTTCGTGAAGTTATCTTCCTTCGCACATTACCAGTCCACCCTCATCTCGTCCCCGCCCTCGATATCTTCCTCGACCCTCTTTCCCGCAAACTGCACATTGCCATGGAGTACATGGATGGCAACCTATACCAGCTCATGAAGGCTCGTGACCACAAGTACTTCGAAGGCAAGCATGTTAAGAGCATACTTTACCAGATCCTGTCTGGGTTAGAACATATTCATGCCCACCACTTCTTCCACCGCGATATCAAACCAGAGAACATTCTCGTGTCTACCTCTGCCTCCACCGACTCTCCTTTCAGCCGCTACTCTACCCTCGTGACTCCCCCATCCTCTCCTCCTACCTATACCGTGAAGATTGCCGACTTTGGTCTTGCCCGTGAGACTCACTCTAAGCAACCTTATACTACTTACGTCTCGACCCGTTGGTATCGGGCACCTGAAGTGCTCCTACGAGCCGGAGAATACTCAGCCCCCGTTGATATGTGGGCTGTTGGTGCCATGGCTGTCGAGATCGCGACCTTGAAGCCACTGTTCCCTGGAGGAAACGAGGTGGATCAAGTATGGCGCGTTTGCGAGATTATGGGAAGCCCTGGCAACTGGTACAGCAAGTCGGGCGCAAAGATTGGCGGTGGTGAATGGCGCGATGGTTCGCGCTTGGCTCAGAAGCTGGGCTTCCAGTTCCCCAAGATGGCGCCTCACTCGATGGAAAGCGTCCTGAACCCATCTATTTGGCCCGCTGCTCTCGCTGAATTTGTCACCTGGTGTCTCATGTGGGACCCCAAGAACCGACCAACCTGCAGCCAATCCCTGAACCATGAGTACTTTGTCGATGCGGTTGATCCCATGCGGCCCAAGTCCTCAACATCCTCGCGACTGCTTGGCCGCAAGCAGTCCGAGAAGAGCTTCAAGTCTCCCACTCTCACCCCGAACGATTCCCCTACTCTCTCAACCAAGCCTTCCTGGTTCCGCCGATCACTTATTGTACGCTCTGACAGCCCAGTCCCTGGTGCTGAAGCCGAGAGCCCGGCCAGACCTGCCCCTGTCACTTACAACACAGTCCCAGAGGTACCACCGGTCAACAAGGCACGCCCTGCCAACACTAAGCGCGCGACGTGGGCGAATGGTGCCCCTATGCCCATTCTTCCCTCCATCCGCCCCGTGTCTCCTCTTTCAAACTCTGTCACCGCTCAAGCCAATACAACTGTAGCACACAGCGAGGCTGCAAAGTCTGCCGAGGCGGAGGCTGCGAAGAACAAGAAGATTGGCCGCCAATTGTCTGTCAACTCGAACGGCAACCACTACTCTGATGCCCACCGCCAGGAGGCTGAGCGGATGCTGAATGGTTCAGGGAACACTACGCCGACTACAAAGGAAAGCTTCTTCTCACACCTCCGCAAGCGTGCTCGTCGACTCTCAGGTCGCAACCAGAACGCCGCACCCGAGGATATCGAAGCCAACGCTGGATGCATCCCCTGGTCAAATCGCTCCTCCATGGCTCTTGATGGGTCCAACCCCGCAGACCCAAAGGCGCACTCCGATCTGACCGATTTGGACAAGGCCTTGCAGAGTGTCAAATACTCCCTCGACACTTCTACACTGAGCAATGTTCCAGTGCATCTCTCTGGAGCTGATGGAAATGTGATCAAGCGGCAATCAATGCCTACCAGCAACCCGGCTCCGATCTCCAGCAGGACACGACGTGCCATGCAGATGACAAGCCACCCAGTTCACCGCTATGAGACACCCGAGGAAGAAGATGAGCTTTTAGACGAGGTGCTCCACTCTGCCAGCAAGGCGGCGCGACGCCTCGCGCAGACCCAATCAATGTCTGTTGGGGTACACCGCCAGATGGATAACTCGCAAGCCTTACCGAGCCCATATCCCACTCCTTCTCCCACGGCCAAGGCCGATGGCTATTTTGAGACTCCTGTGAAACACCACACCAATAAGGCGGACCCTAACTCCAACCGTCAGTGGCCAACACCCCCCCCTATGAGGAGAGTGAGTGGAACCAAAAGGCTTCCACCAATTACTTCTCATCTGGAACAAACTACATTTGAAACACGAGTGTTTACTCGACCTCGATCACACCAAACACTCACTCATATTCTCATCTCCAAATAGAGAATCACCACCAAAAACAAAATTCTGGCGAAAGATTGCGCTAAAAATCGGATACATACTCGTTTCGGCGTATTGGTTTCGGGGCACTTTTTCTCCAGGTCTGGCAGTTCTGGGTTTTCCTCTTTTTTCTCTCTTTCTTCCTTTCATACCCCCATAGGCCCTTTTTTGGATAGATGGTTACTGGCCTCGCACACATTCCCCCCCTCGGTTTTATTTCCCTGGTGATCTCTCATTATCTTTTGGCGTTGCACATTATTTTCCCCACCACATTTTTTCACATCTTCATTTGATACCACATGCGCCAGCCGCATTATATACCATTCCCTACACTTGCATATCCCTCGCGTTTTTTCCATCCTTGATGAATATGGCGCTTTCTTTTTTCCTTTGTCTACATACTTCTCTCATCCCTCTCTCTCTCTCTCTCTGTACATTGTCATGGCAAAAACTGCCACTCCTGTCCATCGCTTTCCTTATCCAACTGCTCTCTTGCATTGCATCCTCTTTGATCCCATCTTCCTGTTCACTCATTCTTGTACTATCTTTGATCCTAAGCCCCGGATTGACTGGCTGGCCTCCAGTTCACCTTGTTGTAATATAGCACCTACTCGGCATCTGCCAATCATATACGCATATACAGTTGACATGCATAATAATATTTTTTCGCTTATCCATCCTTGATTCCTTACTAGTTAAATTAGAGTTCAAAGACATGCAATGTACCTGGCTTCGTACATGATCATCAGTAGACTCAGCAACCCGGTAACTAGAGTTCCAAGGTTAGTTCACATCAAGCACTGGCAGTCTGCCAGCGGGCTCGGGATCCACCCGGAGTAACAACGGCCCGCCAATATTCAAGTTTCCCAATCAAGCATGCTCTTCACCATCAACTTTTTTTGATCCTCATTTAGCGCCCAGCTTCAATCGCAGAAGCTTACTTGGCCGAGAACAAGTCCCCAAGCCGATACCTGAGCAATTTTCTCTCAAGACTCCCGGCCTCAAAAAACCACAGGCCCCAAAAAATCAAGGATCAGCGAAAAACTTACACGCTATCAATCTTAGACAAGAGATACCCCAGCGGCTAGAACGACTACACAATTGGCGCCCTCTGCCCGGAGAATAGGGAAAAAAGAAAACCCAAAGTCACAAAGCATACTCCGACAGAGTCCATCTCCCAAAATGTCCAACCAAAGACAAGCCTCCTCCGCCTCGCAAACCCCGCACCTCTCCCCAGCCGAGCTCTCCTACCTCTACACCTCACTCTCGCTCCCAAAATCCCCCATCCGCCCCGATGGCCGCTCACCAACTCAATTCCGCCCCCTGACAGCCGAATCAAACATCCTCCCCGGCACAAACGGCAGCGCGCGCATCGGATTCGCGGACGGAACGCAGGCCATCGTCGGCGTGAAGGCGGAGGTTGAAAAGACCGTTCTGTCGACCGATACGCTTGCGTCTGGGGAAGGGGGGGAGTCGACGGCTGCGACTTCGGGCCATGGGTCGTGGGTGCAGATGTCTATTGAGATCCCTGGGTTTCGGGACGACGATGCGCTGCCGGTATTTTTGTCGGAGATGATGCGCGAGTCGTTGGTTGGGGCTGTTGTTGAGGGTGGGGATGGGGGTGGTGATGTTATGATGGCTGGTGGGTTGAAGGGGAGGTTGGTTATTAATAAACGGTGGCATTGGCGACTGTATATTGACGTGAGTTTTTTTTTTTCGAAAATTGCGATTGCGCGTCTCTGTCCACGGGAAAGAGAGGAACTTATACTAATGCTAATGCTATATAGGTGCTGCTTCTCTCTCAACCACTCTCATATCCGCTGCCACTGCTCTCTCTCACGACACATCTCGCTCTTTTGTCGACCAAGTTGCCGAAACTGAAGTCGCAAGGTGAGGAGGACCCTTTCTTCGACGACGACTGGGAGGTTGCGGAGTATTTGTACCCGCGTGGTTCGAAGCTGAAGGCTACTTCCGGTCTTGCGTCACAATATGTTCGACCCCCGGTGACGCTGCTTGTTGTCTCTGTCGGCGAGAATGTGATTTTCGATCCGAGCAGGGAAGAAATTGCCGTCGCGGACGCAGTTCTTGCCATCTCTGTTACTAGAGATACGGAGGCTGGGAACTTGAAATTGCTTTCTATTCGCACCATCGACCCGCCTTCTCGTCTTACGCAGCCTGCTGTGCCTAACTCTGAGAATGTGAATATGCTCGGTGCCACTGCTCCGACGGAGGATATTGCTGTTCTGAACCCGGCGACTGGGGAAGAGGAGGTTCCTGGTGTGTGGAGGCCTCGGCGGGGTGGTGTTAAGCGCAGTGTTATTGCGAATATGATCAAGACGGTGCTGAAGAAGGGTGGGGTTGGTGAAGAGGTGCTGGAGGGGTTGGAGGGTGTTGAGGTTGAATGATCTTGCTTGTTTACTTCTTTGTCTCTGATTACTTCTTGTTTCTATAGGATTGAGGACGGGCTGGCGTTTTGTTCTGAGAAGGCTTGATTGATTCTTATACCATATCTTGCAATGCAATGAGAGGCGATTCATGACCATGTCTTTCAAGTCGCTTATTTCCATAATAAGGTCTACTAATATACAGATGGAGTGTATATCCACATTGACATCTCCGCGGGCGCAAATAACACCGCCCCAGTCATTCCCTATATCATACTGCCAACTCTGCCAGCACAGATTCTGCTCGGGGGCAGCAATGGCAACGTAATTTCCCCAACCCACTCCATCCACTTACGGGATGAGAGGCGAGAAATTACCAAATGCCCAGCCACTTCTTAGTGGGCTTCTTGTTTCCCTCCCAATCAACGAACTCGCCCTCCGCAGTCTGAACAGCAACAGGTGACTGATCATCGGTAGCCGGAGGCTGAGGAAGGTCTTTCTCACTAGGCTCCTCCATACCGTGCGCGACACGGTACTGCCTGCGCTTCTCGGCGTCCTCGATGCGACGGTGGCGTTGCTCACGCACGCGCATGGAGTTGTGCTGCACGTCCATGCGGTAGACGGCCAGGGCCTGGGAGATCGTGCTGAAAGGCGAGGTGAAGAGGGCAGACCAGGGCGGGAGAAGGTGAGCGAAGGGGGAGCTGGCTTTGAAGTTTGTGGTGAAGGTGAATGTTGCCAGGGAAGTTAGGATGCCCTGTAGATATATCTATGAGTATGTGATGTGATGGATGCAATGCGGTGGGATGCAAGAAGGACTTGGGCTTGAATTCGGGCATTGAGAGTATGTACGTACCATTGCGATCCACACATGAATCCACTTGCTCGTCAAGAACTTGTGCATAACCGTTCCCTCTGGCGGGAACATGCTGGGGTATTGCTTTTTATTCTGCGCTTCGCGCTGCTCGGCTGTGAGGCGGGGGCCATAGTTGATGGGTTGGCCGGAGGGCGAGGTGCGGGCCGGATTGACGAGGCGCTGCGGGTGTGAAGGAGGTCGGAACTTGTCTGGTTGACTGAGTGTTCGGCTCTTGTCGGTTGTCCTACCCTTTGATACAGGGCTGGTGGAAGAAAAGCATTGGCGCGATGCGCGGGTGGTCAGGCCGATATGCTGCTGTTGTTGCAAGGTCCGCAGGGTCCGCGCAGTGGGGAGTCCTCGCGGTAAGAGGAAATGTGGAATCGAAGCGGGCGGCATGGTGGTTGTGTAGTGACCTAGATCAATTGTTCCAGGACTTTTGCTTTGCTTGCAGCAATTCCCGTCTCGGCCGGCGAGAATATCAGTCAGCTGACTTGTTGGCACTGTTTGCACTAACTGGGCCAATATCTCCACGTGACCTTGCGGCGTCTGCAGGCGCCGACGAACAATCTCGGGCCGCGAAAACCCTTAGGAACTGCACCTGCAAGCGCCCGTTTACATTCCTCGGCAGAAGCAAAATTTGCTCTGCTTTTAGCCGGGGCCATCAGGTACGGGACATTCCTAACGCCCGTATCCACAGTCGTACGATTTGGTCTCCCCGTGCATGCCTATTCTTACTCTCCGCTTGTGTGCCTATATCGTATACCCTGGTGACTATAATTACGGATATGGTGGGCTATTACAACCTTAGTCTTAAGGCGACACAGGATTCTCAGAGGCTCCTCCATGTGTACTCCGTACTCCGTACAAAAGTTGGCCATGTCTGTTGGAGGATCCACTGCTGCTGGGTCAACTCCGGGAAAGCGGATCAAAGCGGGCGAATTATGGACTGCGTATTTCGAAGCCCCGGTGGACCGAAAAAGGTGCGCGACCGTGTCTAAGGGGGCTGAAAGGGATTTCACCCCTGTTGACATCCAAGGGGCAGTAGACTAGCATTGGGCCCTGGGTCAATTGGAATAATTGGAATAATTTGAAGCAATCAAGGCTGGCTGGGAAGAGCGGGAGGAAAACTGGCTAACCAGGGACGCATGAAGGAGAATGATTAGCCATGAGGTCATTTCCCGGTGGCTGAGAGCTTTTCGGAAGGAGGCAGATAGTATATGGTAAAGTAGAGTCACAATTTGCAACACTCAACTATGGCCTGAAGTGTATGGAAGTGTATGTACAGTTATAGTGTATACTTCACACTCAATGATATCTGAATAACATACCCTTAAATAGCATTCACCATCAAAATATGCGTTGTGGTCACTCACCGAAGGCTCCCGGTTGCGCCCGCCGTGCTGAATTAGCAAAACGCTGATTGGCTGACGGGACCAGATCACGGGGACCGGGAGGCGCGGTACAAATAATTGCGAAAACTGTTTCTGGGAAAATCTTGCTTTTCTGTCATCTTCATCTCCAGTCTGTACAGTCAATTCCCCTTCAATTACCTTTAATAATCTTTCATAATGGGCAAGGAAGCTTCTTTCGCACCCGGTAAGCTCCTCTTGTCTTCCTCCCTTTTTTTCTGCCTCGCGAGCATCGACCCTGGCCTGGATTCTGGGCTGGTCAGGAACAACTGGCTGCTCGTGTGAAGCAGAGAGACGAGAACTGGCGACGAGATGGCCTCTAAATGGCCTACCGATCATGACCTTGGTCATGGTGACTGTCGTGTGTGTTTGCCAACCGCTGTCACTTGACGGCGCACCTTCGGCTCGCACCTTCGATCTGATCGCGACACGTCCAAACTCTCTCGTTTCGCACCTTCTACGAGACTCTCCAGCAATCGCTTCCTCGCTTCACACAGCAAGTCACCAAACCAGACCTAATCCACGCGCTTTGAAATCCCCCATCGCCATGACGACCTTTGATGTGTTGTGCACATTGGCCATCAGCGATGAGCGCGAAGCCGAGCTGGCGGCCGAGGCAGCAAAGAAAAACAACGTCAACGATACCATAGTTATAGCTATGGCGACCAGCAGCATAAACAACAGCAGCATCGCTAACCCGACTTTCACTCCAGGTGACTCTGCCAAGGGCGCCAAGCTTTTCCAGGTAAGCTCTCCTTCTGTCTACTCAAGCGAGACGGAGAAACTAACATTGAACGTTTCTAGACTCGCTGTGCTCAGTGCCACACTGTCGAGAGCGGTGCTCCCCACAAGGTCGGCCCCAACCTGCACGGCCTCTTCGGCCGTAAGACCGGCCAGGCCGACGGCTACGCCTACACCGACGCCAACAAGCAGGCCGGTGTCACTTGGGACGAGACCTCTCTGGTAAGAAGCCGCTCAATTTAGACCGCGAAAGACACGCCGCTAACTCGCATCGCCCTACAGTTCAAGTACCTCGAGAACCCCAAGAAGTTCATCCCCGGTACCAAGATGGCCTTTGGTGGTCTCAAGAAGACCAAGGAGCGCAACGACCTCATCACGTATGTTTACCAGCCACAACTCAGAACAATACAAGATCCCTTGCTAATACACACGTCACAGTTACCTCAAGGAGTCCACCGCTTAAATGACTTGACGCTTTTATTACCCACACGGCATTTTCGTTCTTGTTTTCTCACACCCCGTCTCTGGATCAAATAGACGTCTGGGATTGGTTTTGGCGCCGTGGGCCGATTCCCGGGCATTCGAGGGAGCGGGCATGTAATTTTATCTCAGATTACCAAAGGTTGACCCGCAATAGATTTGAATTCTTCTCTCTTATATCCTCATTTCCCCATTCTCCGTGTTCGTAAATAGCCGCACATTGCTGCAGGTACCTTCGGTGAGTCGGCCGATCATGGAACAAGGTCGGCATGGGCTTGCGTCAAACCTGGGGCATATGGGGACGATTTGGGGACTACCTCAAGGTACTTAAAGCCTGGCGCAGGGGGTGGCAAAGAGCTCGAACGAGTCAAGCACATACCAGAGGGAAGAGGGCGTGTTTCAGTGAGATCCATTGCGACACATCGATTGGGCGACAATGGCGGTCAGGCAGGAGAATGGTGTACCGTGCATGTCGCTACAAAGTTGTTCGTTACAAGGTTTGCACACATTCACCACAAACTTACAGGCAACAGTGAGTGAGATACCTGATCAGTACTTTATCGGTACCTCACCAGTACTTTTGAAGATCTCCGCTCGCCAGCACTTGAGGGCACCCATGTACACCACATGACCTGGATTGCTTAGTATTGATTGGCCCAGCCTCCTCTGCAAGGTGAGGAGTTCCTCGATCTCCCGCATTGCTCGACGAGGCGCAATCTTCTTCATCGTCTCTGATAAATCGTTACGAAGTCGCGGATTGACTGCTTGTTCCCGTCACTGGTTGATGGTCATTCACCTATTGTCAACTCCACTCTAGGCTACCCAGCATACACTTCACTTCCACCATCAACAACTCCCCCCCACCACCACCTCTGTCGCATCGCTTCTGGTCGCATCACAAGTTCTAGGCGCGCGGGGTCGATTAATCCCCAGCCATCTTCTCTTGTCTCTCAAAATCACCACCGATTCAACCAGCATATGCAGTTTGTCTTGCGCGTTATCACTAACCGCCTAGACGACACTACTACAACTCTCCCAGCCACTCGGCCCACCAAATATTCTGATCGCAAAGACGCCTGCGCTGCGTCACTGCGATCTGCCGATCTGAAGCGCCAACCTCACAGTACGCCGTCCACTATGTTGGACCAGTTAGACAACGTCTTCGACGACCATCCGTCGCTGGAGGCCTCACTTGAGGACTTTGAGAACAACAGCAATGCGCATCGCTCCCCGCTTTACGGCCTGCCATCGCAGCACTCGGGCTTCCGCTCTGAAGAGTCGGATGAGGAGCCGGATGAGGAGCTGGACGAGACACCCACAGATGACCGTTGGTCACCCCCTGGCCTTGGCATACGACAACACGATTATGTTCAAGGGAGTGGATGGTACCGTCACCAGCCCTATGCGCAACAGCGTAATTTCCACGATCGTCCGGACTTGAAACCCACATTTGGTCGTCTCAGCGTGTCGCCAAATGCGTCGCGCGAACCTAGCCCGCAATATGAAGATGCGCCTGAAGCCCCCGTCAAGGGAAGAGCAAGTGAGTATGCCGAAAAAGGTGATGTTTCCATTGCTGCCAATGTACCCTTGCCAAAGGGAGCAGGTACCCCACAGATAGGACGATCCCCCAGTCCCCCTCCTGCGCAACGTCCCGGCGCGACTCGTGAGGGCCCCGACGATGACGGATTGGGTTTTGGCGCGGAGAATCTGAGCAACTGTAGGCACTGCCTGATCTGGGTCTAACATCCCTACTGGAGACGTGGAAAACACTGACTTGTTCATCTTGCGCATGGCGATAAGACATTCGATTCGCAGTACGTGCAGAAGTCCAGCATCGCGAACCTATCACCGCCATCTGCAGCTACTTGCGCAACAAGTTCGAGCATATGACGAGTTCAAAATCCAATACCACTCTCTCGGTATTGGTCATGTTGGTTGCGGTCGCCTTCATGCGCGCTCTATTCCTCCCAGGTCTACCGCAGTCCATCCCGGATCTGGTGAAGCTATCGAGCTTCGCGCGTTCATTTGAGCCATTGATCTATTACTCCGAGAATGGCGTCCAACAGATCGGTACTCTGCAAGAAACCGGGGTCGCCGTTTGGGACCTTAGTGAGTCGGTGCGCGGCACAAACATGACTAGCGCGCCTATTATCGTGCGTCAATTAGATGAGCTGTCTGATTCACTCAAGTCTTTATCGCTGGAGTTGACACGTTTCTTTGCAAACGTCGACTCGGATATTGACTCCATCCTGATCGTGATGGACTGGGCCAAGCGTGAGCTCGAAGCTTTATCTGGACAACCTCCAAGCTCTTTACCTACCGTTGTTTTCGACAATGTGCACAACATGTTCTCGCGATTAGGCGCGCTCGAGCGTTCCACAGAGCTGGCCGGCGGTGGCGTAACAACACCATTTGGACATGTCGTGATGGCAGTCTTCGGCCAAACATCCGCACAGCGCACCCGCGCAACCCTCACACGAACCTTCAGCGAATTCCTCGCCGTCCTTGAAGAATCAATCAACAGCGAATTGACCCACTCAACCGCTCTTTTCGCCTTATTTGAATCAATAGATCGGCAGTTTCTGAACCTGCAGCGCACGGTCGTCCGTGAATCCGATGCGCAAGAACGCGCTGAGGGAGAGATGCTTAGCTCCCTCTGGACTCGCGTCCTTGGACCCAACGCTGCAGTCGTTCGCAAGTACGAAAAGAATAAGAAGCTTCTTGCCAACGTTCGGAGCCGCACTGTCGCAAACAAACACTTGCTTGTTGATCATCGCGGTCGTCTCCTCACCCTCAAGGTGAATCTGGAAACGCTCCGACGGAAGCTAGTCAGCCCGCTTGTGCGACGCAATGACTCAGTCAGTTTTGTCGGTGTGGATGGGGGCTCTTCGGGTGCCGGCAATTCCCATGCGGGACGCATGCTCGGTCCCGTCGAGGCAGTTATTGATGGGCAGATCCGTGGGTTGGAGGGTACACACGACTACCTGCGATCTGTGCGGGAACGCCAGAAAGCGAAGTTGATGGAGATGGTCTATGGTTCCGGGAGGAAAGCCCCGTCGTCAATGTTTGCAGGTCTGGAGGGACACGAGGACGCGATTGATGGGTAACGGACTAGTATCATGTGGTGTCGTAGGCTTGTACCTTATCAGGATTTGTCGCTCTTGCTCCCCTTTCTCTCTAACATCCCCCCTCTCCTCCACCTAAATCGGATATGGTCTCATTCATTTCTTATTTCTTATCTCTTTTCTTCCTCATGCTCGGCGTTTTATTTCTCCTTCTAAGGGGCCCCGTTGACGGGCTCGGATGGTGTCTGGGCATTCTTTTTGGTGGATGCCACTCACACACGGAAGGAGGGCATCAACTGGTAACTATTCCGGATCACATAATAGGGGCAGGTTTTGAGGCGGCTGGCGTTTCCATCTTCTCCTTATACTCTCTCCTTTTGTCTTTGACCTCGGCTCGAACCCTGATTTCTCATATATCTGTGGTTTTTCTTTTTATGGGTGCACAGGGTGAATGTGGGCGCGTGAGGTAAAAGGATAGATATAGGGTGGCACATATTCGTTCATGTCTTTTATTTTTCCTTTTTGTAAGGAATGCATCTTATTTCAAACTCTATTTGGAAGCAGTGTAGAGTCTACCTAGTACGTGTATTTCCCTTTATCGGATTCTAGAATCTTTCACATGCTGGCCTGATGATACTCTAGGCCCCGGGGCTATCTTAATCTTAGAGCTAAGCTACTGTCGTCGAACTGACAAAGGAAGTCGAATTCCAGTCAGAGGCATACTATAATCAGGTCAAAACTGCAACTTCGTAGTACTAGTCACTAAAAGAAGAGTCGAGAGGGACTTACGTTCCAAGCATCAATTCTCAACAGGCTAACGTTCTTAGTGGTTGGGATACCCGACGTCAAGAGTCCAACCGCTATAGTAAGAAGTCAGTTGTCAAATTTCCCCAGCGAATTAGAAGAAAAAACCCACCAAGGACATTATTCAGCCAATAATACTTCTTACTGGCTGTTTCAAAGACAATTCGTAGATGCAGATGACCATCTGGCCCCTTTGGCCCAGATGTCCGAATATAGATGTCAGCGCCATCATTAGTTCGCAGATTGTATCGCGTGTCTGCTGAAAAGATGTTTGTCCGGGGATCAATGAGGCCCCAGTCTGCTCCGACGTCGAGAATCTTGCCTATATAGAATTTTAAATATCCTCATTAGCTTCCTCGATTCCTAAAAGCCTAGTGGTAGTAGTATACATCGCGGGAATTCTCACCCGAGAGATGGGGTCCGGTAAAGTTACCCCCGACGATGGGAATTGCCTTTCGTATACCGTGCGGACCAGCAACTTCGGTCATGAGGTTACCGTCACACTCAACATAGGCAGTGTAGAGGAATTGGAGGCTCGGGGGCTCAGGTGTGACGGCAGTGGAGAGGGCCAGTCGTGCGCAAAGGAGCACAGAGAATAAACGGACCATTAACATGGTCCAGTTGTTTTGAAAAGACATAGTCAATGGCGAGTAGGTAAAGAGATCATGAACAGATCAATTTGTCGAAAGAGAAGAAAATGGTTTCCAAACCAATCTGTCCAGAGGAACATTCTGCCTTTATGTTGAAGGAAGAGAAAGCCCCCGGCTGATCTTCGGAATATCCGCCTTCTACCAACTACCGAGCCCCGCATTATTGAAACGGTCATTACACAACCCACACACTGATCTTCGAATTCATAGCCCTATAAAGGAGACGACAAATTGAGTCGATTGGAGGATCTTATTTTCCACACGAAGATCTTGTAGATCCACCTCATACCGAGGCATTTTGCTCGCCTGCCCTATCGTATGCCGGATTCTGCTGCCGACCCCAGATCGCACTAGTAGCTCCTCCGCATTTCTAAAGCTCCCGCTAACCCCAAGCTTCAAGGTATTATCATTGGTTTGTGATACTCTCCAGAACTCATATTTGTCGATAGCCCTTGTCTACTTCTTTCTCTCTCTCCTTGTTTCCAGAATTTGTGTCTTCTATTGAGATGTTATTTGTTTCTATTTCCACAATCTCTCACGAGTGTCAACTACTAGTATAGATAGGCTCATTTCGTTCCACCGTGGCCCTATATCATAGCACAAGGTCATACATAGATATAACAATACGGCCCAGCTGTAGTGCTCATTATATCCCTCATGGCAATGGGATCCTCACCCGCAAACCCAACATCGATAACCGTATCAAGCGTGGTATTCGCCGAGGGAGGATCGTTCAAAAATGTCCCCGTCCCCGAAATAGCATCCCCGCGCCTCTCCCAATCCAAATTCTGCCAAATCCACCAAACATAGTCGATCATACTGTGGTGGTGCCAGAAAGCAGGATCGCTCGGACTGACAAAGACATCACGGCCGGGATCGCCGCCCATCGCGAAATGGCCGCCGCCGTGGACGCCGATGAGTCCCGAGTCCGGGAATCCCTGCATGGTCATTTCGAAGTCCCAGACGTCATTGCTCTGCGTGATGAGGGCCACAATGTCGCTGAATTTGTTGGATTTTTTCAATATCGCGCTCGTCAGGTCGCGGCGTAGACACCGGGGGTTGTAGTCTGAGGGTGTGGGCTCGCGCTCACGTCGCGGCCGGGTTCGACTAGATCTGCCGGTCCCATGCTGAGTATGTAGTCTTTGAAAGGGCCAGTTGTTACGCAGCCTCCGCCGCTGCCGGCGGGAAGATAGATATCTGGGTGTCCGTGAAGTGTTAATTTGACGTCGGGTTGGTCGGGGATGGATACGCCGTTGCCTGACATGGAAGTGTCGCTTCCATCGAAGACTTCGGATTTCTCCATGTCGTCCACGTCGGCGCCCCAATTCCAATATCTGGTTCAGAGGGTGTGTTTAGTTGTGGTTTCTTTCAAGAGACTTGGTTATGTATACTAGTAATTATCGGTATACTTACGGTATATCGCCGTTATAGCCACACTCATTTCTCAAGGCTTGTTCAAAACTCCAAACAAAATGTCTGTGCCATGCCAAAAATGTTCCCTTCTCGAAGTTAGCGATTATGTTAATATCATAAGAACAGTCGATTTTTGACACACCGTATAATGAATTATAAGCGTTTGGTTGATATGAGTAGCCACAAAGTCATCATATCGTGACATGGTTCCCGGAGCAAGCTCATTGGGTGTTTGAGATGGTAAATCCTGCAAGCAAAGCACGGAGTTGATATAAGCCTTCTTCTCGTTCCGGGTGAAGGCCCTCCAATCACGACGCATTCTCATGGTTTGCTGAGTACATCCCTCGTGTCGCAGGGGGGCATGTGTGACATCAGAAATCACTGAATCGCGCGCGATCTCAGCTAGCCGCTGAAGCTGAAATTCCGCAATTGCTGACGAAATAAATGCCCCAGTGCCTGTGGGCAGGATTGAAGTTGAAGACTCTGATAGAGACGGAAATGAAGAAGATCTGCTCCCATGAGCATATTTAGGAATGGAAGGGATTGCACATGTTTGCAGAGCAAGCAGGATGCTAATCGCGAGTACTGGCAAATTGGCGGTAACCATGGCGGCCCAGCAGGTACCCGGAATGGGCGGGTACTATTAGTAAGTGATACTCGGTATATAAAGTGGGCTTCTCGAATGGAAGAAAAAAAACTAAACTCGCACAATGACCACGAGGGTGTCCAGCTAGATAAGCAATTCGATTGCACCTGCATCCGACCACGATCGCCGATTTATTTCGGACTACATAGTGGGGGACCGGGAACCTTACTGATGCTGAAGCGAGTCCTGGTAAAACGTGCCTGCCGGGATCTGCTTGCCTCCATCTCCCCCGAGGCGGGGGGCCTGCTGCGGGTGACTGGGGTCCTTTGGGGTCCCTTTGGGCCCTTCCCGCAGGGGCTCCACCGGGCTGAACTTGGGCCTCCCAAGTGCCTGAAGCTTTGGTGAACCCCTAAGCCTACCCTCCCCCGGTTCCGTCCCATCCTCCACTTGGAAACACGAGCAGACGGAACAGATCTCGTCTATTTTCTACATTTAGAGTCATCGTGGTATGGAAGTTCTTAGATCATCCCGTTATCGAGGATGGAAAGCACATGGTATCTGATCTCAGTCTCCACTTGGTTGCAGCTCCTTAAGCAACTAGGGCTCGGAACAGCCAGGGTAGACCAGGCTAGTAGGCTAGTTAAATGAGTTGTCAATCGACACTTCTCTAGCTGCTTTTTCTGCTAATGAAGGTGTTGAGTTTGATTGGATACAATTCACAGACGGCTCGTAATGACTGCCAATACTCATCCTGCGCACTCGGCCAAGTTGCGGTGGCTCGGAGTAATACCTTCAAATGGAATATCTTTCGTATTTCTCCGAGATGACTTTGTATAGCTATTAAAATTTCTAGGTTGGAGCGGGTGGTAATTATTCCAATAATTTGGGTTACATCGTTCGACAGCCTAGATCGTGGAATCATGCGATACTTAGTATATAATTATATTCATAATAGAAGTGGCGATGTAAGAAAAAAAAATCTATCAAGTGCTCAGCCTTGCAGGCAAATCTATGAAACCGCTTTCAAAAGCTGCTCAAATAGCGCGTCAGAGTCAGGCCCAATTGGATTGGCCATGGTAATCGCTTCTTCGGCATTCTCGGGTGGATAAATTAGCTTTTGGTTGATCAAGCATTTGACTCGTTTCGCCACGTCCCCGGTCAGCTTGACTTTTCTATCCCAGCCCCCAGCGATAACGGTGCCCCAGGCGCCCAGATCCAAGCAGCAATTATAACTAGGCTGATCGTATAGTACGAGAGCCTCGCCAAGGAGTTCCGCAGCGGCATTGTGACCAGATACACGACCCAGGGAAAGAGCATGCTGGCAGGACATCAAGGCAAAGTGACCCTTGTCATCGGCAGCCGCCTGAGCAGTGTCACCCGTAGCGAAGATATTCCTGAATGATGAAACGCGAAGGTTCCCATCCACCAAAAGGCGCGCCAGGCCGTCCTTGGGGGCGGGAATCTGTTGAGTCAAGGGCGAAGCTCTCACACCAGCGGTCCAAATAGCCGTGTTGGTTTCAATGCGTTCCCCGGACGCAAGAGTGACACCACTGCCATCGATAGCGGAGACAAGGGATCCAAGCTTAACCTCGATGCCGAGTTCGTTCAAAGCCTGAGTAATGATAGGGCGCGGACCTGCGCCGAGCTCAGGGCCAAGCTCATTTGCGCCCTCGACAACCAAGATCCTGGTATTTGAATTTGGCAGTCGCTTGGGCAGCTCGGTGGCTAGCTCGATTCCAGTGAAGCCGGCGCCACATACGACGATTGTGTCACGGGCAAGGCTTGCTGGGAGCGAGCCAAGGCTTTGGAGATGCGATTCAAGCTTCACTGCCGAGTCTAAGGAATCGATATCAAATGCATGCTCGTGAATGCCAGGAATCGACTTGGGTCGCACGACAGAACTTCCAGCTGCTAGGATCATACGGTCGTAGCTGATGGTTGACTCGGTACCGGTGGGTGAATGGACAAGGACGGTGTTGTTCTCGGCGCTGATGGTATGAACGAAACCTTGGACAAATTGAATGCCTGCTTCTTTAAAAAGAGTCTCGACAGAGTGGGTCATCTCGGAGGAATTGGCCTCATAGAGGCGTGGTCGAATGACCAGAGATGGCTCCGGGGCAATGACCAAGATTTCGAGCTCATTCTCTCTTTGAGTGAGTTTCGCGAGGCGTTTGGCAGCAAGAGCACTCCAGATGCCGGCAAAACCGGTTCCGATGATGATGATCTTCTTTGACATTTTTTTTCGAATTTTGGTGGTGGTTTCAAGAAGATGAGTTCGCAGTGTTCTATCAAACTCTTTCCGTACCTAGGTAGCGTTGTACAATGATAGTGTGTACTGGCAGTGGTAGTACTCCCTCTACACTATTATATAGTGAATCAAGTTCAATTTCTAGACACAAATTGACTCAGCCTACTAGGCTATCCGATCAAGCAGGAAATATGAAGTGGCGATACAGAGAAGTTGAACTTCTACCCTCGGGTACTCTACTAAGTCAAGTTACTATGGAGTCACGGGTATCCGCCTTGGCCGAGTGTGGATACCCGACGAGTCCCCGAGAGCAACTTGAGTACCCGCATTTCTACAACTCCGACGATCTGCCGTCATGGCATCTTCTCATGTCATGTCACCTCCCCAGAATTCTAGAGCTACGCGCTCATCTTTGGCCTGTCTACCGTGTCGCTCGCGACACCTGAAATGCGACGGAAAGCGACCAGTTTGCGCCCGTTGCTCTGAATCTGACCAACAATGCCACTATGCTCGATCGCGTCGCGGCGGTTTAGATCGCGCGGCGTTGGCAGAGCGTCGCAAACGACTTTCGGGCGTCGATACCACTGATACCGAGCCGGTTACAATCGCAGGCAACTGGAGCCCACAAAGGATCGTGGGAGTTCAAGGCGAGCTGGATCTCACGTCACAATTCATCGAGGCAAACTTCGACAAAGGCGGGGGTCTGCTCGATGGGGTAGGGTTTGGCAATACGACCTCCAATGTCGACTCACCAGGATCTGCGACCTCTTTTCAGGTCCAAATGAGCAACATAGAGAAGGACCCACTGGTGCATTCTTACTACAAGAGCTTCCATCGATTCCACCCTCTTCTCCTACCCCGACGCCACATGACTAGACACTACCAAAATCCGAACCACCACCTGAGCCTGAAACCGCTGATCGCAGCCATGCGCCTCATTGGATATATTTACAACTTTCGGGAATGGTCATCCGCATTGCAAGACCACGTGGAAACATGTCTAGCCCAGGCCATGCCGTCAGATCCAGTCTTGGTCCAGGTTCGGCTATTATACTCTGTGGCCCTGTTTTGGTACGACCATAAAAAGCAGGCTAAAGCCGAAATAAACGATGCAATACGACTCGCCCTAGATTTGCAGATGCACCATGAAGAGTTTGCGGTCAAAAATGGGGCCGAGGATCCTGTAGTCAGCGAGAGCTGGCGACGAACATGGTGGATGCTGTACACTGTGGATGCATATTATGCAGGGACCCTGGGAACGATGGAGTTTCAAGTGATGGAGGTCGATGCAACCGTCGGGCTGCCTTGTGAAGAGCAGGAATACGAGTCGGGAGTACGTTGTCACACCCTTCTGCTTAGTCGATTTCTATAATCTACTTCTCCCTCTAGATGTCACAAGAGCATGACTCAACTCGCTGACCTTTTGATAGGTGATACCCGAACCAAAGACGGTGCAAGAATTCGATTGTCGAGAGTTTTCTTCTGAGGATACCGTATTCTCATCGTTCGCGTATCTCATCGGTGCTGTAAAATGCACGGCTATGGCGATATCCTCGGCCCCCAAAATCGCGGCAAAAGAGGACTCGTTACATGTCATTCAGGCCGCCGACTCAGCCCTCGATGGATGGCTGCTCTTTTTGCCAAAGGACCGCAAGCAAGTGATGACCAAGACTGGCGAAATCGACGAACTGATGTTTCAAGCGCATTTACTCATACATGTGTGGGTACTCTCCTCAATCATTATTTTTGCCCGAAGAACTTGGCTAATCTGGTAACAATGTAGCTCAAGTATCGGCATCCACAGACCACTCTCAGATCTAAAATTCAACCCCGTTGAAAATATCTCAAGCTGCGCTCGAGAGCCACCTGCCGATAACCCTACCCCGGAGCTGATTAATGTCCATACTGTTCGAGTCATGCGAGCAGCTGAGGCGCAGATTCGCCTTCTAGCGTTGCCGGTTCGACCATTTTACCACTCTCCCTTCACAACATGCATGATCAGCGAGGGTACGTTGGCGCTCTTATCTGCCTGTCATTTCCTGCTGAAAGGGCCCAAGCTGGCTATTGCAAGAGATCAAATTCGGATGACTATTGGTTGCCTCAAGACATTGGCCGAAATGTGGCCAAGATCTGCGAGAAATGTTCGCGAGATTCAAACTATTGCTCACCACGTGCTAGGGCTGGGGTCCAAATCCACAAGCATGAATGGAACTCCTTGTTCCAGTGACCTGCCCAATCTATCCGGCGGCAATGGCCAGGGAAGCCTGGGGTCGGAGGGCGAAGCCTCGAGCAACGACACTGATATGCTTCCTCTTTTAGGTTCTATCGATGATCTATGTGGGTGGTACAATATTGGTGATCTGGGCACCGAGTTTGCATGGGATATGAATAACGCATCATGATTTAATATTACCGAGTTCGGACAATTGCTCATCCTTTGAGCTCGTGTCAACTCGCCGGATTCCTTTTGGGCTTCTTTGAAAATTTAATAGTACTAGTACATAGTATGTAGATAAAACACAAAACATTATTACTACCTGGGCGGAAACTACGGGTCATTGTCACTTATTGAATGTTCCTTTCCAGTTTTTGCTTACTTTCTAAGATTAATAACTTGAGGTTGGACTTTTCGCTCCCGAAATGCTCTTTGCATTCGCTGGTCATGTCTCGTTAAAACATCGAAAATCATCGAAAAATTTCCTCAATAAAGGAAGAACAACCAAATCTGTTGCTATTCTACCATCACACAAAGCTGATTACAGCCTTGTTTCCACGGCCTCGTTGTCGAGCATATGCCCATGCTTTGACCGAGTCCTCAAAGGGAAATGCCTCAACTTTCAAGGGCTTAACCAATCCAGCATCAATCATTCCACCCAGCTGACCAAGTCGCTCACCCTCCGGAGAAAGAATAAAATGCTTATACCGGACACCAGGGTGATCAACCGCCTCAGGCGCCACGCCCTGACCAAAAGCCCACGAAGGCGCAGGGTCTCCAATCGTGATCAGAGCACCATCATCCTCGACAACCTTCCAACACTTTTCCAACACTTTTCCCCCAACTGTATCAAATACAAGACCCACTTTATCGAACTGTGTCTCCCACCCGTCAACCTTATAATCGAACACCTCATCCGCGCCCATACTTCTCAACGTCTCATGGTGCTGAGCCGACGCCAGACCAACAACATGAGCCCCGAACTTCCGCTTTGCAATCTGCACCGCCAGAATCCCCACGGAGCCAGACGCACCCGTGATGAAAACCCGCATGCCAGATTTGATGCCGCCATGGTCCAATAGTGCCTCATACGCCGTCAGAAGCGGAATTGGCAGCGCAGCCGCCTCTGCGTGCGATATCGAGCTCGGCTTCGGGGATACCTCATTGGCTGTACAGATCGCATATTCGGCTTGGCCCTCGCCTCGATCCGGTGAGATCATGGCGTAAATCTCGTGGCCGACTTTGAGTGGGCCGTTATAGTTTGGGCCGAGTTCTGAGACTTTGCCTGAAATGTCGTGGCCTGGGATCCGGGTTGCCCGGGCATACGGTTCGGGCCAGGTTATTTCGTCACCGGTGATACCGGCTGCGTGGACTTGGATCAGGATCTGTGTATCTTTGGGGACGGGTTTGGCGATTTCGTGGGTTGTGGCGACGGTGGGGGAGGAGGCGTCTCCGAGGATTTGGACGGCTTTCATTGTGAGTATGGTGGGGTGGGTGTTGGCTCTTTTTTGGGTGATGGGAGGTTGGATTGGGCTTTGATAGGACTTAAATGTGGAGTAGAGAGTAGGTTTCAATCCCTTATATAAGAGAAGCTGGGCTGGGTTCCTGGTGACGGAGATCCCGTCAAACAATCCCCTGGTAACAGCGGCGGGTACCCGGATTCCCGGACTGGACTGCAGGACTGCTTCGAAGTACCTGAATAGCCTAATCGTTATTCGCCATGGTGTCGACATCGTCATTTCAATCAGCAGAGGGATCGAGCCATCCCTCACTCACGGACCTTTCTCTTCAGCCCTAAGGATCAATTACTGCCCATAGAGATGAGATGGTATACTAGTAGACAAGTCGTGAAGTCGACTTCAATTTCATCCAACCGGACTGTGACATCTTATGTTCCCTTCTGAGGCGTCACGTCGCACATCATTAGTCAGTCTACACCGCTAGATCTAGCCTTCCGTCCTATGTACACACATATTTATTATCGTCTCTCTCATCTCCCCGGCATTCACACATTAAGAACAGTTCACGGATTCTAAAATAACGTTCTTGGGGACTTTTATGGAAATATTAAGCTAATATTTAGTGAGAAAGGACATACTCTGATCGCCAAGAGACTGGGTTGAGTGACTTTCCCCCCCCCACCTTTCTTGAAATTTGCAATAATACATAGTAAATTATACTCAGGTGTATATTGAACCCAACCAATCAAGAAGTGAAGAAAGCTGTTATCGTCATACAAGATCCCAAAAATGAATTGACTTATAATTTCTCGGCAAAGCGAGCCACAAAAATCATAATCCAGGTGACTATTTCCCTCCAAACAGATCCCTCAATCTTCCCATGGAAATTTGCGTCTATTTCAAGCCTAGTCCTAAGTTAATCGGAGTCGTTGAAGGGAGAATCATATGCCATTAGGTGAGCGTATGTGGAACGCCAAGCAGGAAGTATGTATTCATGGATGTACACCCGCGTTTTTTTTCGGCAATCTTGGCAGAGCCAGGGTCGCCTTATTGGCCGGAAAGAAGCATTGTTCCCTACGCGGTGGTTGAGACTGAAATATACAGGGGACGGCGGATTTGGTTAGAGCGTAGGTCAGATAGATATGCTCTTCCTAAGAGTCTACTGGTGAACAAACTACTAGTTATACTACCTGCTGGGTGGCTTGATAGAAAGTGAGGCTTGGTACATGAAATAACTTTGAATTATTGGGTAGAGACTGATATAAAGAGATATTCGTGGCCGGCGCTGTTCATGCGAGCAAGGTATGTATCCTAGTCTGAGCGGGATCCGTCGATGTTATAGAAAATGCCTCTGATGTTAATATTCCAGTGTTATGGGAGGAATTTGACCATTTTATATTGGATTTGGAACAGGTGCACACTCGTGACTAGTATCAAGCGAGTACTCAGGCCATGGTCCTAGATGATCGGGGACTAGCATTTCCTGTTTATACTGCCCCCTCTAGGATACAGGATACAGCCACTCGTATACATAATCCGAGTCGCCAATATGCTGCTTTTCCAAATCCAATACAAACTGGTCATATTCCTCTGACGGCACCGGAATATTAACATCGGATGTAGTTTCAACAATACCGATGAATGCCATTTCGGCCAGGATGTATGTCTCGAGCACAAGAGAGGTTGGCCACGGATATCACAATTTCCGGGAGATTGAGTGACGAAAGGGGAATGGGGAAACTCACGAGGCCTCCAGTATGGCTGGATCTAGATGCAGACTTATTTCAGAAGCATGGGGTCAGAAAAGCGCTTTTTCATGTCGTTCAGTCGGTTTTTTCTCTCCGGGTCGGGGTTTTCGAAGACTGCGGGTCTAAACGAGGATGTTTAGGCCCTGGTTCGCCGATTGGCGCCCATCTTGCGTCTATCGAGCATATACCCCAAGGTGAGTGAGTTGTCTGGCGTGTTCTTGCGTATCTTCCGTGTGGCGGGCATGGCGGAGTTATTTTCCTCTCATGCTCGAGGGTAGTGTGGAAATGGGACGCGGATCAGGTGTACTTATGCTGGAAGTTGGAAAAAGGCACTGTCGAGCCTACGCATTTCACCGCTGGGAACAAAACCATTGATGCTCCACAGTGTCTTTTCAAACATCCAGCAGACTGTCAGAAACAGTGTAAGCACACATGAGAACATACGCGAAAAGGGTAGAGAAATCGGAGTGATGACTATGCTATGTATCTCCCCACGCATTTTGTGTGGGGAGTTACCTAATCTACGCTAACCGTTCTTGTTCAACTCTTCGGTACTCTGCCACTCCGCCTGTTTCTTCCTTCCGACAACTGTGAGTTCTCTAGCATAGATTGTCTAGTTACCTCAAGTATTTATAGGCAGGGGGGAAACTGAGATCCACCAGAGATCAGCTCATCATGGCGTGAACTAAAGGGGGAGGTTAATTGGGGCTGGTCATGCGTACTTAAGTGCGTCCCAAGTTCAATTAGTATTCTATTGAGGTTTCTGGAATTTCCATGGGACGTGAGTAAGATCAGTCCTTCATGAGTGGCAGATCCGAAGTTTCTATTTCTTTCTATCTCTCTCGGGCAAATTGCAGTCAAGATATGCTTGTAGTCGCTGTTGAGCGCAGCAAAGGCTGCCAAGGTCTTCCAGTCCACAGCTACACTTCATGCTTTTTTTCTACCATAGCTAGCACCGTAAATCGATTTCTCTATCTGTCTATCTTCAGTCAAATAGTACGACCGCACTGTCCTTCACAATTTTCGGGCCCAGGGCCGCAGCAAGCTCGCCAACGATCCCCTTGACTGATTGCGGGTCGTTGTAGGCCATTTTTTCCCAGCCGACAAGGTCCTGCAAGTCATCATCAGTTCTTTGCTCAGTTGGATAGGCTATGGTATTCAGCCAAGGCAAATTCCAACTTACACTCAAATGCACAAATGTTCCATGGTAAAGTAGATTCCAGTTGCCCAGGTTCAATGCATTGACTTCATCCAAAGTCAGGACACCTGGCATGTGGATGTCGAATAGCGAGAGCGCTTCTTCGTTAGCGCGATCGATGGATTCCTCCTCAGTAGACGAGTCCCCGTTATTCGCAGATCGATCGCGGGATAGGGAGACATATGGACGGGTATCCAGTTTCTTGGAGAGTTCTCCATCGAGTGGGTCCCATTCGTTAGATTCGGGGTCTGCGAGAATAATCAGTAAGATAACAACTTAGGGTGCAAAGCAGAAAATGGAGTTCCACTCAGCAGGTCCGAGAGAGAGACGCGGGAAGGAAATGTGATCGACCTGCTTACCAAGGATGTACTGGGGTCGGAATGTTCCTTTGTAACGCATCTTCTGGCAGTTGTGGATGTAGTAGCCTATGAAAGTCAAAGTCAGCTTCCAGAGGTTCAGGAAATTGGTCCAGACATAGCTATACTGACCCATGTAGTAGTAAGGATAAACATTTTCCTGCGCGAAAGCAATCTCACGCAGAGCGCTCAATTTTCCAAATTCCCACTGTTCATACTCAGGATCGTAACTTGGAAAGTCAGTCCAACTATACATTTGATAGAAGAGTCCAAGGACTTAAGTACTCACAAGACATAGACAGAGCTCACTCCGCTCGGAAGCAGATCCAACACTGCTACGGCAATCAACTTTCCATCGAGGCGATAGCATTGATGCCACGAGCCCAGCTTTTTGTCCGATTCGTTCGATTTTTTCACCTCGGCAGGGGATCGCTTAATTCCAGAGCACAGGAAACGTGTGAAGTCTTTCAGCTTCCACTTAGAGAGGTCCTCCTTGTGGATGGTGGTCTGATACTTGACAAACAAATCATATTTTGCCTGCGAGGGAGAGTCGGCCTCAATGTTGACCTCGAAACGATGGGCTGGTTCTATGGCCCGCTTGGTGGATGGGTCGATGGGACGTTTGATGTGACTGTACTCGGATTCATGAACAGCGGTCAGAACATCAAAGTTACACTTGCGGAACTTCTTTTCCCTGTAGCAAATTTTTAGCAAGCAGATTGTCACATTGTAGTTGAAGGAATGCCTACTCTCGCGTCCGTGGACAGAGCCGAGCGGCCTTGCGAATGTACTCGGGGCCCAGGATGAAGTGGTTCCAGCGATTGATGGCCTTACGCTGATCCCGACGGGACTTGTAAGCCTCAGCCTCCAATCTCAGGGTGTAGTGCGGACAGCATGAACGCCGCAGATTCTGTTTGTAGTACAGATTGCCTGATCTAGATGAATATGAGTCATTGGACAGGGTGGCTTTGGGGGCGAATGAAACAAAAAGAAAGAAAGAGAGAACAAGAGGCCAATGATACGCACCGTCTCCAGCCCTGATCGACGAGAATGCCGTAGTGCTCGGGGCGCACGGCTACGGAGCTGGTGTAGTATGATGCGCCTGGACATGACGTGTCAGCCAATCTTTCCTGAAGAGGGGGGCAAACAGGTGGTAGAGATGCAGAGAATGACATACTTCCATCGTCTGATTTGCAGTAGCCACAAGAATTGCGTTGGTAGCCTGTCGGAGGGGCGAATTAATGTCAGCGATTGAAGTGGTTCGGATCGGCGTGCAAGTAGGGTAAGTTGATAATCTCCCCGCCAAGTTGGCCCCTCCAAGCGCAGCCACCACAACCAGTGGAAGCGCCACGGGGGAAGAGGGGCCTGTGTCAGTGGTTCACTGCAGGGAAGTGGAACGGTACCTAGTGGTCGGAAGAGCGACAGCTGTCGCGCGCGTTCGGCGTCAACGGGCTCCATCGGACGAGAAGGGTCAATGGATTCGAGTAGAGCAGCGCGAGCGGGTTGGCTGTTGGTTGTAGGTCGTTGGTCGGCGGTCCCGGCGGAAGCAGGAAATCGGACACTGGCTGCGTGATGCAAGCAAACACGAGTGGATCGAGGTCAGGAACGAGTAATCGTAGGGAAGGTTAGTGGAGGGGAGAAGAGAGGAGGGGGGAAGGAAGAGGGGGATATGTGCTGTGATGTCGTGGAGGGCGGAAGGGGAGAATCGCGAGATGCCACTGGCAGTGGGATGTGATGGATAGGATGTTAGTATGGCGGGGCTGTAATACTTTGTAAGAGGGGGGGAGGGGAATAAGTAGTAGAAAATTGAAGAATTGAATCGGTTTAGTCCAGTATACTGGTATATTCTATAGAAGTCTATATAATATAGCCCATAGTGAAGGTCATTCTATAGTGATGATATCTTATCTGCCACCTGAGCAGTGGTATAGCAGAGTGTAGTATAGCACTAACACATACTATAGTGTACCTATATTATAAAGTATACTATTTAGTATATAAGAGTATACTACCGATTATAATAGTATAGTATAGTATAGTATATCATACGAATAGTAGTATACTATTATAGTACTATGTTAATACGGAACTTAGTCAGTCGGCCGTAGATGCCCCTCCCACCATCCACCATCCTCCCCGTCAACCCTCTTCCTCCCAGAATCCTTTTCCTCTTACTTCTATTCACCATGTCTACCAACTTTTCTCAATCCAATACTCCCTCTGCTAGCATGAATGGGAAGACTTAACCGAGTTCTGTCCACCTATCGCCTGACCTCACCTCACCTCACCTCACCTCACGCCCCTCTCTGGGAAAAAAAATTTCCTGTTCCGAACCGCTTTCAGACGCCCCCCTCCTCCGTTAAGCTTCCTCCCGGTTAAGAGAGACCAGACCTCTCTAAAGGCTCCGCGGGAGCTTGCCCTGAGACAACCCTTTCAACTGAGGGGCCGAATTCCCTTTCTTTCTCATTTTCTCTCTTCTCTTTCCATTCCTCATTTCTCCTTTCCTTCTGGTCCGCTACACTCTTTTCTTCCATTTCTCTACTCTCCTCCATTTTCGGCACACTTTCCGACGACAACTCCACAGAACCCCCCCTTGTCGCAATGGCTCAAATACGTTCCATGGAGGCTCGCGTGGGCCGAAAGAACCAGCGTAAGTCTCCCCCCCAACTCTCCCGCACGTGGGCGAATCGCGATCGCGAGATCGACCATACCTTTCCCTCTTTCCGGTGCTCCCGAATACCGTGCCAACTCCACCACTATCTAGGCTACGGTTCAAAAGGCGAACGTCTCGTCGCCGGTGTCGTCCCCCTTTCTGCCGATAAAACCAAAGTCCTGATGATTCAATCCGCCGGACCCGGAGGCTGGGTACTCCCCAAGGGTGGGTGGGAACTCGACGAAAGCACCGCCCAGCAGGCCGCCTGCCGAGAGGCGTGGGAAGAAGCCGGTGTCGTGTGTACCGTCAATAAGGATCTGGGTCTGATCCCCGACATGCGCCCTTTTGCTCTCTTAACTGCGCAAGCCCCCAAGGCCTCCTATCAATTCTTCGAAGTAACAGTCGACCGAGAGGAAGACGACTGGCCAGAGAGGCACAAGCGCAAGCGCCAATGGGTTGGCTACACCCAGGCGGCCACCGCTCTCGCCAATCGACCCGAATTGCTAGAGGCGCTGAACCGCAGCTCCTTAAAACGGTAACCGCTGGTGTTGTTGCGATTGCTACAATCCGCTTCGTGTTCGCAATTCACATGGTCCCTGGACCAAGTGAACCCTACGGAACAATTGATATTCGGGACACCCCACCCGATTGATGACTCGACACGACCAAGAAAAAAAAGATCGGTGGCTTTGTTGCTTTTCGAACTTCTCTTTTGTCTTTTTTTCTTCCTTCTATCTTAACTTTGCATCGCATACGTCGCCTCGGCGGCCGGGCTGCTGTCTTACCCGGTCGTTTCTAACGTTAACGTGGGCGCATTAAGTTTTTTATTCCTTGCTATTTTCTTTCTTTCGCTCTGGTCATATTCTTATAGACACCGTGTACTGGGCCCCATCTCCATTTGGGGACCTAGAAGCCGGGCGGAGGGCTCCCCTGTGATATCTTTGATCGATCTCCCCATCCCTATGCTGCTTGACCACCTTCCCAGTGAGAGAAAAGTGTTTTCAGATCAACCTTGCTCGCGCTCAATGGAATCTGAACCATGCCCTCCCGTTCTCTCCCTCCCCCCTTTCACTAACCCTAGCAATGCCCTTCAAAATCGACTACGTAGTCAATGCTGTAATCCCGAGCGAATTCCCTCTCCGACGCCAAAAACAGCGCCGACCGGATTTATGGTAGATGATACTATTCCTATTGTAGATTTTAGGTGCAATATTGGTATTACTCTTTCAATCATGTACATAAATAGCATATTTAGATGGTCGTCATCAAATACCATGCGTCATCATTTTTAACCTTGGAATCAAGCTGAAGAGTACTAGTAGTATCGCATGTGGTCACAGTACTAGTACTACTACTTTGGGAAATTGGTACCTACCTAAGGTACTCAGGTACATAATCAAACCAGGAAGGTGGTAAATTCTAATTATTTGAATGTTTAGGATTAGCGAGACCACTATTATGATGACAATCATAGGTTTCTAGTACGGGTGAGCTTTCAAGGTGAGGCTGTCCCGATTGGGCCAAATGCCAAGACATCCTCCAAGTGAGCAAATCCGCTGCTTCACTCCCGCGGAGCGAGAATCACCTTCCAACCCGCTTCCTCCATCCTCCCATTCTCGCCTGTCGTCCCCGGCCGTCATTCTCTCCTGCCTTTCTCTTCGTTAATGATAGCCATATAACCTACTACCCTCGGAAACAGGCGGCGACCAGCGCTGCCGCATCAACAGCACCATGGAGTACGAAATGGATATGGAGCCCACGGGACCTCAAGTGACCGTTCGCGAGGTGAGTTATTACCGACAAGCCGCAGCTTCTGTCAGTCGAACAACTGAGCTAACAACACCTCTCTTAGGCGGAGCCCTACCGCGTCGATTTCAAACTGAGCTCCATTGACCTCGCCTTCGCCAACTCACTCCGCCGCACGATCCTGGCCGAAGTCCCCACCATGGCCCTGGACCTGATCGAGATCGAAAGCAACACGTCCGTCCTCGCCGACGAAATGCTCGCCCACCGCTTGGGCATGATCCCACTCAATGCGAAAAACTGCGACCAGATGGACTACTCCCGTGACTGCGACTGCGAGGACCACTGTGTGCGCTGCAGCGTGACGCTGTCGTTGCACGCGCGCTGTGGAAACGGCATCATGACCGTTTATGCGCGCGATCTTGCTGTCCAGGGCGAGCGCATGAACGATACGATCGGTGACCCTGTCACTACAGATGCTGAGGGCAAGGGCTCGATCATTTGTAAGCTGCGCAAGGGACAGGAGATCAAGTTGACTTGTTTGGCGAAGAAAGGGACGGCGAAGGAGCATGCGAAGTGGGCGCCTACTTCTGCCGTTGGATTCGAGTATGATCCGCACAATAACTTGAAGCATGTCGACTACTGGTATGAGCAGGACGCCGCCAAGGAATGGTATGTACTGCAGTTGTGCGATCTTTTCTTTTGATTTCTTTGGGGAAGAAAGGAATCGTCCTGTCTACGAAGCACCTTTTGCGAATGCTGACTCTTGAATTATCTAGGCCTATCTCTGAAAACGCTGCTTGGGAAACTGCCGCCAACCCAGATCAACCTTTCGACTATGACGCCGAGCCCAACACATATTATTTCGATGTGGAGAGCATCGGTAACTTGGAACCCGACATGATCGTCCAGCAGGGTATCATCGTCCTTCAGCAAAAGCTCGCGACCACCATCTCCGTCCTCTCAGGCGAAGGCGAGGACGGCCACGTCGGCGGTGTCGAAGACGCCGATATGATGGGTGGCGCCGACCCCGATGCCTACGAACCTCCCGAGGGCATGGACGGCCATCTCACAGCGTACGGAAATGGTGCCGCCGGCGCCTGGGGCGCTAGCGCGCAGACACCATATGGTGCCACGCCGTATGGACAAGGCGCTTACGGATTTTAAACATCGCAAGTAACGCGAATGATCCACAAAACGGGCTTGAGCATGCAGGTTGGAGTTTCTTCATATTTTCTTCTCTTTTCTTTCCCTTTCTTCTTAGCTAGTTCATTTCTGGCGGTTTGGCGGCGCAATCGGGAGTTTCGTCTTAAGACGAAGGCACTATTCGGCCACGAGTCGAGATACATCTGTCCATATACTTTTCACTACTGGTAAAAAAAAGCTTTCTGTGATTATTCGGAAAATTATATCTCTTGTTAGATTTGCCTTGCGTTTTCAATTGAGTACTAGTACCAATACTGGCCATATGACTACCAGCCTTTCGACTACCTCAAAGACCTTTTCCCCAAGGAACCCCGAATAGACCCGAAATCAGATCTAGAATAAACATGTTCACTCGGCGGCACGTACACCGTCCTAAGTCCCTGATCAGCACCCAAAACCTCCGGCCCCAGAACAATATACCCACCGCTAACAAGCTGTCTCAGTAAACCCGCCTGCCGTCTAGCAGCAGCAAACACATCATCCGACCTGGGAAAAAACCCGCGCACCTGGAGCCAAAAAGCATGCTTGGAGACTACACCCGGTTTATCAACAATGACACGCCTTGAAGAATCACCCGACTCGAGCGCACGCTCTATCTCTGTCAGAAAGCCCTCAGGCGTCCGACACTCGTGGTAAGATGTCATCGGGATCGCAACCCACGCCATGGTCTCCGTTTGGAAGCTGTAGACGTTCTCTAAATGCCAAGTCTTGCTCGGCACGAAGATTCTGCCTAGGACTGGCATTAGTGTCTGTGGGAGGAGGATGTGATTTTGTAGAGTTGTTTCGTCTTGGCTGTGGATGCTCAGGTGGACTAGGGACTCTGTGTGGTTGGGGAAGGGGTTTTGGAGGGGGATTAGTGAGGGTGGCGTGTTGTCATTCGTGTGCAGGTCTTCTTCGTCGAGGTATACGGCCGTGGGGAAAGTGTTCAAGTTCGCGTTCTCTTGTAGATCTGAGTCTGAATCTGAGAGGAGACTGTCAAGTTGGGTCTGGATGATCTTTGAGTCTTCGGATTCAAACTTGAAGTGGGCTAGTTTTGGATCTCGAAGGAAGAGCGACGCTTCTTTTTGGAGAACTTGAACTTCTTGAAGGGTTTTACTGGGACTCGGATGCATCGGTTTATACATTCATATATAGCGATTGTTAGTACTGGCAGCACTAGTGGTTTTTATAGATCCTTCCTGGCCTCGGGACTGGGGTGAAGAGTTGCGGTGCGGAGAGCCCTGGAGGTCAAGCTTTATATACTAAGTACCTACTATTAGGTACCTGTATTATGGGACAAGCGTACCGTTGACTCATCAAATGAAGCGTATTTTCTCTTTCTGAAAATTTTTGACATGTAAAAGCTTCTAATAAAAGATAGCCTTGTCTGTCAGAGGTGAACAAAGACATAATATCCTACTAGGATATAGAAAGTAAAAGACAATGTACTTTCACCTACGCGAGACCATGGCCCATTGTCAGCTTATCAACTGCCGAACACTACTATGCATTCGAAGTTCTGGTCTATTTTAGGCGGGTTCCAAGCATTGATGAATGGAACGAAGAATAGTATCTGAGAGTCTAACTTTAAGTCATAAGCCTCCAGGGCTACTACTACTAGCATCGTGCAGACCTTCAAGCCAGGAAACTTTCAAGGCGCCTTTATGTAAACATGTCTCATGTTATCAAAAGGATTATATCGACTTTCAAGTTGTGAAAGGGCCTGGTCTTCGTTCTGTTTTTGCATATTATCACATCATGATCCTTTGTCCTCAATGTCTATATATACTACTACTGGTACTATTCGGAGTGGATCAATCACTCATCCCGAGGTCGATGAATATTGAATCACCACTGGCACTGCCCAAGAGCCATCCTGCAGTATACTAATAGAACAGGCCCAGCAACAAGACCCCCATTCCCTACTACCCACTAAAACTTTACATTAAATACTACCATATAGCCCAAAATTATGAGCAGTTCCAAGAAGCCCAGCAAGAAGGAGGTGGGAAAGAATAAAGACATGAAGGAAGTCGAGGGTCTCGGTATCATGAACGTCGAAGTACCCACGCAGACGCAGAAGCCCGCGGGTATGGCGAAACTTTGTACATGTTACCACTTGTACCAGCACAAGAAATCTGCGCGAGACCAGGAGAATGAAGGAAAGGAGAGGGAAGCGAGACCGGATGTTTGGGGTGTTTTGGGTCATACGGAGGTGCGGAAGGCTAAGAAGTAGAGTATTGATTGATTGGTTGTTATGATATCTTGAATCAAAACTTTCCCAAGCTGGAGAAAGCAGAATTTCACTGCCCAATAACCGGGTTCTCATACGTAGGATTGATATTGGATCAAAACAGGGTTACTGCTTGCATTTTAAATTATTACTTTGGACAGAAGAAGGTTGCAATTCTTATCAAAAAGCCACAATGATATAAGATACTCCACGCGGTGACGTTTCTTGTTTTTACTTCTTGATGAGGCTTCGTTGCAAGGCCATCTAGTTGAGCGTATCTTAACTCATGTGAAACCATCGAGCAGTTGTATCTTCTTGGCCTTTGAGTTCCGCATTGTCAGGTTTAGCGGCATTTCTCGTTGTAGCTTCATGCTGCTCTTCGTCTGGCAGCCGGCAATGTGCCATGGGATTAATCGACTCCAAGTATTTCTAAATAGGATTTCAAGATGCAGCCTAGTGGAAGCAGTACAAATAATGAGTAGTACTAGAGATCACAATTACTACGACTTATGTAGAAACTGATGTTTCTCAACGCTTCGGTCCTCAGAATTTCCGCGGCAGTCACACAATTAATCCGGGTTTACATGGGGGCTTTCCTTTCTCCTGTCCAGTAGAACTATTTAACCAACTTAGATATGATTGCCAAAAGACAGAAAATATCGACGTCACAATTGACCGAGACTGGGGTTTGATATATGAAAAGTTGAATGCCGTCACCAAAGGCCAAAATAGAAAGCTTCTGGGAATACTTATAGACGCTTTATCTTTCACTCTTTCAATTGCACCCCAAAGCCCCTCCCCGGCGAGGAGTCCATGGAACGCAAAAAAGTAGACATTAAACATCGGAGTGTAAACAGTTTGGTTGACAGCTACCTTTGTCCCCAAAGACAAAGAGGGTGAGCTGTAATTGAACCGCCGCCCTAAGAACAGGAACCACTCGTGACTAGGAACTGCGATAACAAAACCAATGATGAGACTCCGCAGCGATCGATGATAGTCAAAATCATCGTCTCCGATCATTTGTGCTGAAAAGTCACCAAGGCAGAATATCAGCGGCGTAAGGCATAGCTGGGTAATATATGGTCGTCGGCTTTGAGAGCGTGAGAACCAATCAAATAGCGATGCAATGGGTCTCTGGAATTTTCTGGCCATCAGCCTTGGAGGTGTACCACGAGAAAGATCATCTTGTTTTGCTCGGAAACTTCTGACTTGAGTGCGGTGATGGTTTAGTGGGATACGATTCGGTAGCTTGAGACGCAGTCGGGTGAGCATGACTTCGTGTCGAAGATGAGGATAGAAATAGGCAGGAGGACACCGAGAGATCAGCATAGTACGTGAAATGGACGGGTCCGAGAGAACGCAAGCTTGCCAGAAGAATCAAATCAGCCCTGGAGTCTGATGGGATTCATTCAAGTTACCAGTACTTTATAGACTGCAACTCGAATTCCCGGCATACCAAACAAAGGCGATACTTTCACTGTCCGAAAAGAACGAAAGGGGTGGGGATGATTATGTAATACCAATCCCACTGTGGGGTAGTTGATAAAGCGACCATAATTTTCCCCTTCTCTGACCACACTTTGATTCAAGAACTGGCAATAGCCATACTAGTAGTCGAAAGCCTTATATAGTACCAGGTAGAATTTCCACTGATAGAGTAAATTTTTCTTACAGGAGAGGTTAAACGACCTACTTCAATTGGAGGGCAGGGTTTGGGCTTATAAAATTAAAATGATGAGACTATGAGATCTGCAATACTCCGTCGTCCCCTTCTCAGTATCAAAAGAAAAAAAGAGAGAAGAAGTTCCGTCAATTATCTCTATAACCTTAGCGAATTAAAGAAAAGCCTGTAGATTCAATGATAAAATAGCTCCTACTCAAAGTTAAGCTTAGCTAGTACACTATACCATCCAAGCCGGAAGCTAAAGGATTTGCTCGGATGGGCCAAGGATCACAAGCCAGGTCCGTAAATCAAGTCGTTAGCGTTTGAATATCCCAAGTCTCCGACCCTTACTAGTCTGCTTTTGAGATACTAAGTCGGATGGTTTGAGCTCAGAGAAAAACGCCTCCAGCATGGTGCTGAGATAAGACGGGTTTTGCAAGTTTTTGAGCATGGCTACCGTCTTGTCCGCCAATTCCTTCTTTTCTTCCTGAGTAAATTCACATCTGCGATTGATGACGCAGCATCCACACTCAGCAGTACAATGTCCGATTCCTTTTCTTGTCTCGTTCCCCATATGGCGTTTCTCGCAGCACCTACAACCCCGGGTACAGCAACCTCCTTGCCGTATACAATCATCGACAAGATCTTTGCAGAGATACTATTTAGGATTGTCCCTCAGCTTGTCATAAATTTGTCTCAGTGGATGGAGCGGAAGCATCGACTCGCAACGGCAGAGATCAAGCATATAGAAACCGATCTGTTTTCGGACTTGCTCTAGTTTCTCGTTATACTGGGGTGGTTCTGTCCCATTTTTGGATGCTTTACTGTGTATGGATTCAGTTTTTGTTGCTTGAAGGTGTTCCTCGAGTTGCATTTGCTCTCGCAGACGGATCTCGGCAAGTAATAATTCCCAAACAAGCCAGTTTCGTATATCCTTAGACCATATTGTATCGAGTAAGTGTAATGGCCTATTTGAACATACGCGATGGGATTATTCCATTTGGATATGATCAGAAACTTCATGATTCCAGTTCTTTCTGACGATTTATGCCACGCGTAACGGTAGTACTCCGAGAAAAGTCAGTTAACGCCTCCGTGTTCTAAGGAATAGGGCGAAGATGACGGAGCTCTAGAGAAGATATCCCCTATTAGATGAGAAAAAAAAGAAAGCTTTTTGAAACTCTCAGTGCGACATTAAAAAAATTTCAGTCCATGAGAATCAGTGACGTATCAACCAGTGAGAAGGGAAGCCGCATCCAAAAGCGGGAGCAGACGTATCAACCTTAATCCCAATCAGACTGCCCCGAGGCCAGTACTAGTACAATTTAGAAAGTGCTTTGCTTATCTACTAGTATAACCTTGGTCATTATTTCGAATAATTTTATGATTTTCCGCTATAGATAATTTCCAATCAATCCCGGAGGTATTTACCAGTCAATGTAAGGGTCTCCTCAGCCTGTAGGACGATGGAGGAGAAGATGATGTCCTATTCTTCCCTTTAGGGAAGGAGATATCGTCCTCTGTCATCACGTGGATGACAGACAGATCGCTAAGACTAGATAACTAATGGCGCCTAACTGCGCATGATTCCCCCTATTCCAGTTGCACATGCTTCTCGACGATCTCTACCTCACCCCCTCCCTCTGAGGTTGCATTGCACTGCCCCTGCTGTGGATGTTGTTGTGCCCCGTGGACCCTCGTCGGACCCTCTTGAGGCTGTCCTGTCTAGTCGATCTGTCTTTTGCCGCAAAGCTCGTTCAGCTGAGCCAATGGCGGAATTCCCGTATATACACTTGATGTCGGTTCTGACCGGTGGTGGGAAGACGTTTGGCTGTCTTGAGATGGGGCCGAAAGTATCCCTCCCGGACGAGAGATGGGAACTAGCCTGTATGGGCGAAATACGTGAGCATGCTTTCAGGACAAGAAGATTCGACCATTTTTGCCCTGCATATAAGGAAATTTGTCGTCGTAGGAATAGAGTATCTTCATCTATAAAAAGGACTGGCACCACTACCGATTTATGGTATATTACGAACTCCAAACCCCTCTACCCAAACACCTATCTCTCTTATTTCCCCGATTGCCTTTCCCTGGACCCCTCTTCCCTAACCTAAATCCTCTTCCTTTGCCTTGATTCCCTTTTATACATGCTCTGAATCCCTTACCTCCAAACATACTACTCTGTGCGTCTCTTACTTACAACATGTTCAGTGATAGCTTCTGCTTGGAATCTTTCTGGACTTAGAATCCTTATGAGAAGCTGTACCCTCTGTAGAAGTGTCTAGATATCTGTCGCTATCTAAGCCCTGTCTCTATTAATACTACGCCGCCTCATTCTATCTCAATAGGTATGACTTGAGACCAGATCTTTCATGTTCTTATGTCTGAATGGTATTCTCTGTCTATACACCCACTAGTAGAGGTCTATATGGACAGCAATCCATAATCTGTCACAAATATATCTCAGTAATCGGAGATAGTGAGCCAATTATTGCCTGTTAGTGGTGATTTAGGCTGTCTCAATTTTAGGGATATCCTACAATTTCAAAAGTTACCCAACTCAGAAAATATCTATAAAACAATATTTAATCCTATAAATACGGACTTTGAGCTATAAACCAATATTTTATCTGACACTCTATAACTCTCACTTATACCTAACCAGAGTCCTCTATCTAGGGCTTTTAAAGCCCAAACTCTGACCTTAATAGAAGATTTTTCTAATAATTTTATAATAGATCCAGTGATTTTGGGAGAGTCCTGTTCTTAATTCAAAGTACAGAATCCTGTAGAGCCTATACCTGGTTATACCTTCTATTAAGCCAGATTAATAATAGATAATTATCCTTTATTAAAAGATAATAGCTACCCCCGCGGTAAGTAGTATCAGTCCCCAAGGCTGATAGAGCCTGTCACTCAAGGCCTCATACCTTCTCTTTAACTCTGCCACATCCACCATTATGTCTTCTCAAAAAAGTCCAAATGTGCATATATTCGAAATAAAAGGAAGGAGAAATGAACCTGTTCTCGATGAAAGAATCTCTTATTGTTATACCACATCCGCGCCAAGTTTGCCCAAGGCTGAAACTCATACGGCCTTGTACTTTGCTGCCACGTCAGGTTGGAACAGCGCAGGTGCATGAGCCCTTGTATTCTCTTAGAACTGTATGTACTAGATGTTGGTTTACGGTGCTAATTGGTCTTGCACTGCAAGCCATGCTAACATTGGGATAATGATTGGTAGTTGCAGGGTTTATTTTACCGCCTCGTAGAGCTGCGGCAGCAGGGGCTACGAATTATGTCAAATTTACCTCGAAAAAAAGACAAAATGTTTTAATCGGCTTCAAAAAAGAGAAAAAAGTAAGGATTTCTAACTATTTGGATGATCAAGCTGGCTTGGAAGGATCATGGAGTAGAACCAGCGACCGTGAAAGCTATTCTATTCAAAGCATTTAACACTAACCCTTGTTGAGATTCTGCAGATCGTATGCAGCGCATATCTAAAGTAGAAAAAAAGTGATGGCCAATTAAAAGCTAAGCGCCGACAAGGCGAAATGAGTCCTTGTTTGATGACGTGGCGGATTCAGCCTCATGAACCAATAGGGGGAATCAGCCCCGTCGCAAAAACGTTGAGAGGGCTCAAAATCCATTGCTTTTCATAATATAGAAAACTTATTTGAACGTAATACAACTGAATATACTGCGGCCCTCTTTACGAATTGTAAGAAAATCATGGACAATATGAGTTTCTTTATTGCTCAGTAGGGTGGCATTTTGAATCACCAAATACGAAGTCAAGGTCTCGTTTCGAGCAATCAGACTCAATAGCTGGCTGATTCGTTCGTAAGATCACTGCTTCGATCTGAATTGGCTGAATTCACCGACAAGCTTGGAGTTCTGACGAAAACTAAGATTGGAATGCTTTTTCTCTCTAGCACCTCTCAGGTTCTCATGTTCGTAAGAACGCACTGGCGAAAAGAACATGTGGGGTTAGGATCAGAATGAGCTTCACCCGGCGGCTTCTAAGGCAGGATGCTAATTGATTGATGCAAGAAGAGTGATTGTTTCTTGCTCAACATTAGATGCTGAAATGGTCGACATCTTGGCTGGGACCAAGTTGGTTGTACTGGAGTGGTAGTATTACGCAGAAGCTCCGTGTGATCATAGACCCTTCCTCCACACGGTCCACAGGATTGAGCAGGCAGGACTGGGAAAAGGTCTAAGAAAATTAGTAATTTGAGAAAGCCTTCTTGTTTGAAAATTCTCCTACCGCCGAAAAGTTTGAACATTCTATTCAGCTTCAGCCTCTGGCATGTACAACTCGAGATCTCCTTCATCTGGACGTTATACACGCTATAGCAGGTTTGGAACGGGTTCCACTTGCTTCCTCAGGGTCGATAACTCAGTCGCTAACCCACCCACGGCGTGGTACGGGTCGGGTGGAGGGTCCGGAGAGTTACCCGCGGGTGAGTGCTAGGTCTAATTCCAGCTCTAGGGCCTTGATAATCGCTTCATGGCAATGCTCTTTCGCCAAAGATAGTGGAGATTCGCCCTCGCTGTTTGTAGTGTTTGGGTTGGCTCTACCTGTGGCCAGCAGCATCCTAACGATCGACTCATGTCCACACCGTGCTGCTCCTAAAAGCGGCCATAGCCTGGTATGCCCTTTACCGCCTATATCGGCGCCTGCTGCGATCAGAAATTTGACAACCGACTGATGGCCTGATTCTGCTGCTAAGCATATAGCTGTTTTCCCATCGGGATGAGTGTAATCCAAATTAATGCCATCGGTATCAAGAAGCAGATTGACATCTTCTTCATGACCGTTCCATGCCGCATAGCAAAGCGGGGTATATCCCCAGCAATTAAAGTTGATGTCGACTCTACCGCTTAAAGGTAGTTCCTTGACCATTCCGCCGTGTCCCAATCTTGCCGCACAAAACAGTGGTGTTTCTTCATCTGGGTTCTTCTCGTCTGGGTCAACACTCTTATCATAAGCGAGAAGCAGCTTGACGGCTTTATCGTTGCCGTTTTCCGCCACTGAGCACAATAGCGTTTTACCCCAATAAAAGCAGCAGTCAAGATCTAACCCTGCTTCTAATAACTTTCGAGCTGTGTTATCATTCCCTTTCTCAGCCGCACGCAATATTGCCTTTGGTTGATAAGATGTGGCATCCCGGAGGTAGAAGAGGGGGTCAAGCAATTTGCAAAGGTGGGCGCTGGGTTGAATCAAACTATTGAGATCCGCATTCGACTTCAAGTTCTCGGCGATCAACAGTATCAGTTCATTTGGTAGATGATGGAGTGGCATATTGAATGAACTTGATGGGTGTTGAATGAGTAATTTATGAAATCCTTTCAAATTTTCATAACGAGACAGAAAGTGGCTTAAGTGATAGGGGAGAAGAGACAGAAGACAGGAAGAGATAGGGTTAGGAGATAGCCGAGAGGGCTTCCGGCTTGGCTTCAAATGGGATACCATAAGTACTTATTTGTCTTTTGCCTAAATAGTACGCTTTCTACCAACTTCGCCTTGGCCGCCAGGGCGCCTTCCCAGGGATCCCCACCCACGATGTTCCTCGTCATTCCCTTCCCTCTTATGTATTAGCAATCAGATTCCTTACCACTGAAATATCTGCCAAGAAAATTGCCTATCCGAGCAAAATAACTCTGCCCTTTCATTTCATCCTCTTGAATGCATGAATCGAGGTCGAATCTTCCTCCCACACGTGTTCGTGGAATAGCTTGAAACTTGCGTCTTGAAGTCTAGGCCAAAACACCAAGTCATCTACAAGGTATGGACGCAGCATATCCAATCGATATGTGTAACTGAGACACAGCGCTTGACGACTGGATGAGCGGCACTAACGTTATGCGCCTCCGGCGAACTCAGCCATCTTGACCCCTACTACAAAGTGGGGCAATGGGTACAAAAGATGGGCCTCCTGCTCCACCAGTCGTCGAGTCCCACATTCTTATTTCCCTGAGATCGCCCAGCGAGCCCAGCAACCTAGATTACAGAAGTCTTCCGAGATACCTATCTCTATACGATTTTATGCAGACTCAACCTACTTTGATAGTCTAGAAAAGGCTTCTTAGTGCACTTACGCCACCTTGCTGAACAAGCCATCATTCTTAACATCTCAAAACAATCATTTTAGGTACTTCGAAGAAACCGATCGGACGTCGGCCAATCCAAGTCAGCAAAGCTATTCCTTGGAAGTAAAATGTTTGCAGGAAGCGGCAGTGAAGCGGAACTCTGGCAAGTCTCGCAACGGCTTTATCCCGACCTCCCTCCAATCGAGGCGTACCTCGCACTTCACCGCGACTACGTGGCACCTCTGGTACCGCCTTTCATCAATGGCACGCTTACCTTATTTAAAATTGGCGCTCTTTTGTTAGATCCCTCTAAGATTGCCTCTGTCGAGGCAGCTTGCCTTGTGAAGGAGTGCGGGGAGCAGCTTTATTCTTACATCTATTCTTACATCGAAAGTCTTTCTACAACCTCACAATCAACAGCCAGAAATCTCACAGCAAACGAGAAAGAAATATCAGCTCAGCTCACCTCGGAAATTTGGAAGCGATATAAAGCGGGTACTCTAGGCCAACCGAGCCCGTTTATTGATGCCGTTGACACAGCGGTAATGGGCGCCAGCGTCTCCGGTGAAAGCGTGAAGAATATTCCTAGGGAAATCTCGAACAAGAATACTTCGGCAGCTTCTGCCGATTCTGGACCTTCGGAGTCATTCTTCGATCGCATCGACTACCTGGAATGCTGGAATACAGCGTTGCGAACGATCCAGACTGCCCAAGCACAGCGAATCATTAAATGTCTGGATGTTATCGCCACAAACCTCGGAGATAGTAATTGCATCGCTGTGATGGGCGCAGGTGGTCCTGAAGGCTTTGCCCGACCTACATATGACCTGATCAAGATGAAGATCAACAAGATCGATGCGGCGGAGCGCAAAAGTCATCGCTTCTTCATCTACCATAACGCCAACAATTGGCACCAGATTTTCGAGAGGTTAATACTCGAGAATCCGCTGCCGTCGGAATTCATCAACAATCCCTGCGATGACCTCGACCATGTTTGTCTGTTCATGCGTGAAGTCAGACAGAAGCTCCTCGCGAAAGATGAGAAGCGCGGAAAGGGCATTATATTCCACCTAGTGATCCCATCATGGTCTAAGCTCCAGGTCAAGGAGCCGTTGCATTTCCCTGAAGACCTCTACCCTCTGCAAATTGAGGGGCTGAAGCACTGTGGCAAGAACCAGGTCGAATTGAATCTTCCAGCAGCACCCGCTGGACTTCTCCACGGAGTCTCGAATGTTCTTGACCCCCAAAACTGGAACACAATTGCAGGGGGTGCCAGTGTCGCAGTCACATTGCCAGCCGTAGGCTGGGGGGTAAACGGCGTATGTCTTGCCGTTAGCCTCGGTGTCGGCACCCTTACAGGAGTGGGGCCACTTCTGGCCATGCCGCTGTGGATGGGATCAGCGTCGTTTTGTATGAGCAAGTCAGCTCCATATATCCACGAGAATATTCATGATGCGCTACGTGAAGAAGACCCTAGGGTGCTGGGCTCCAAGGAGCGATTGCACATGCCGCGACAACGTTTTTAAACGTTTTAAACTGGTATAACTGGGAACTTTGATGCTGTTTGTCACCTGTGTTAACGCTTATTCCAGCACTTTTTCACCATCTCTGCAATAGAAACTCAGGTATGTCTAGGTATTTGGTCCTATATCATATTCCTGGAGTGAGCTTCAAGGTAGCGATGTTTCAATACACGAATTCAGAAAACTGTTACTGTAGCTCCTAGAAGGCGTTATGAAGAGTGACAAATCCGGTAGTGGAGAGCTCTTTTCATTCGCTTCTGTTGTACTTTCTTTTTGTCCACGTAGCCTGCGAACGAGCCCGTTTTATGCTAGATGATGAGGGTGATATTTTGAACTCATCCCAAGATAGCCATATCTTCGACGCATAGGCCAGGCTTTCAAGTTTCGGTGAGGTGGTTACAGAGGGCGTTTAGCATGATAGATGCGATACTTGGTTTTCGGCCAACCGAGAGTCCTCAGGGACTGGGAGAGACTTGGCACAAAACTGAATAACCTAAAGTTCTTGCGTATAAATAGAGCGCTCACTATAGTACGTTATTTTTGTCATTCACGATGGAGTGAGCCTATTATTGTGGTGTATTATAAAATTATTCATCTCAGGTTGCCGAAAATGGATATTTCTTATCATTTTGTGAGTGGCTTTTTTGACTGTAACTGCAAGGTTGGGAGGATTGAGAGCTAACAACGCCAACGTGGGTGCGGTTATTTTTGGATATCAAGTAAGGGGCTTTTTGGACATGTAATATTACATATTTATAATGTTCATTACTTTTATCCTTGTCACCATGGAAAGCCTCAAAGAAACCTTTAAATACGGAGCGAGCCATATTGGACTTGGCGTATCATGTGACTAGGGTTTGAAATAACACCTCTCCATTTCCGGACATTGAAGACAATAACAGTCGGCACTGTTAATCACTCAATCAATCAATAAATGAACAAAGGCACGAACAATTTGAAGACAAGGCGCATCCAGAACGCAGGAGTATTGGAGATGCTGGACCCGGGGCCACTTTCCTGTTATGTATCTATGCACTAGTTAATTAGTAACAAACTTACTAACTACTAGTACAGTACACTGGGGTCGACTTTCTTTTCCACCAGGGTATAGGCCTTTCAAAACTCAGCGGTCTAGTTTACATTGTCAGAACGAGGAATTGAGGTATCAGCTAGCACTGAATTCGTCCAATAGAATTAGATGATTCATTGAAGGGGTTCCAGTCGGTGAGCAATCTCAGGGGCCTCTCTTTTCGAACTATAGCGTGTTATGATACCATACTAGAAGTAAATTGGGTGAACAATGAATAAGCCGATCCCGAAGGATCCTGGTGGTAGAATACCACTTCTTCAGTTCGTCATGAATTGTGAAAGATGCTTTAGGATGTCGAGTTTATTTGATAAGTTCTCATGTGTTAAGCACCAGGTAGACGTACATACAGAGGTATTAATAAACCTGTCCTCGATCGCATGCATATTTCTATTCAATCAAGAAATCCTAGCAAGTGCTGATAGTATATCTGTCGGAACGTCGTCGTTACAGTACAGATTAGTACGAGTATAGCCAATTGAGTAATTAAGAGTGTTGATTTTTGATACTGCGGAAAGTACAGAATATTCGCGATGTGGGCTTAGTAAGGTCGTTTAGAGCCATGCAAACATGGTTGAAAAACAGGCATATGGGGGTGCTGGATATTCCTCAAGCGCATTAGTAAACCTGCGACCCTCTTTTGTCGACAATGTTGATTGTTAGGAAGGAGAGATGATGACTGAAGCTTTTTTGACAGGCCTCACAGGGCCTTATAAAATTGCCTCAAAATGGCCTAAAATTCGAGACTTAAAGACTCAACCATGGGGGTGCACAGTGCGCGGGGGCCCCGTTTTCGGCCCTTAGGGTGAGTTTCTCTACACGCCGGGGCACCACAAAGCTATTCTTATGTGGCCCATATAACACACAAAATGCAGCCCGCTGCATTCCCTGATACCCGAAAGAAGCCTTGGCCTAACCCGAGCAGGAAATAAACTGACTTCGTGCATTACCAATGTCATGCGCTTGGTTGGGCATCTTCACCAAGACCATTGATGCCTAGTAGCAGCAGCGCCATCGCTTTCTGGTCAGACACTAATACAGAAGGGGAAATTCTTGGCACAAAGCGCCATCGCTTTCTGGTCAGACACTTATACAGAAGGGGGAATTCTTGGCACACAGTGCATACAACTAAAGCGCTATCCGGCCAATGGCTGGGCCGTCTCCCACGTAGCTGTGGTTCCTCGACTGGGATTTGCCGGCTTTCCAATTCAGACCAAATCATCAGCTACCAAGGTATAAAAGCGGCGCGCTTTGTCGCTTCAGAGTTGGTAGTTTTCTTTTCTTCTGAGAATATCGCTGCAGAACTTCATTGCAACAATACATCATATCTATCATTTCTGACCTTCCTCTGAACTTCACGATGCCCCGGCAGAATAGACGCTGTTATCTTTATTATCGTTGCGAAGATGATACATCGCGTGCCCGGTTCCAGCAGGAGAAAGGTATAGTTGCAGAGCAGCTGAATTGGATCCCTATGAATCCAGAAACAAAAAATGAGAGGCAGTTTCTGAAAGAAATGTTGCTGGGGCATATATATCAGCACAACCGCAGCCCATCGCCGTTTATATCAACTTGGAGGGACAGAGATCTGGCTTGCAATGAAGCCAGGCGCCGAGTAAAGGCCGGACACACCAATGTTCGTGTATATAAAATTTCCATTCCGTTCGAACAAAATCGCGAACGCCGACATGGACGCCAAACTGGCAGAGCTTATTGCAGAAATTCGGAGAAATGGTTCAAATTGGCTCATACAGAGATTCTGCCCTTTGCTGACTTGGAGTCTATGCGCGAAGAATGGCTATTTGTTCACCGCATTCCGGCGAAGTTCATTCGTCGACTGGATTGGGAGGATGAGGAGTGATGGACTCACGTCTGGTAATGATCTATCACCATATGGAGTGGTAACTTACCGCTAGCAAGCGATTGATTTCCCAGGCACCCAAGTTTCTTTGTGTTTTGTTTGGTAAAAATGATTCGACTTATCAGTCTCAATGTATTAAACAGCGGGTATATGCACACACTGACTTATTTCAACCTGCCCTCAAATTGTATGTTTATCTCGATTCAATCAATCAATTTTTTATCCTTAATTGGCTCCGCTTGATCTTGTTTGTCCTGAATGCATACAAGTCCATTCAATCTTAGCAAGTGCTAATATGATATTTTTTTCCATATCATTTTGTATCTATGTTTTTGATATTGACGTTGATTGCGTCCGCAAGTTCAGGGGGGATGGGGTAACGATTAAACAAATTGGATAACCCACAGCGAACTCCGGGCTGGCGCCTGTCATGACGCCACAAAGGAGCGGCCTCCGATTTGTATGCCAGGGGCCTGGTCGTCCATGGGTTTTAGGCAGCAATCTACATAGACGGTCGGGCTTGAGCTACGGCGGGCCTGGTGATGGCAGGCACGGCGATGAGACCTTCTCTCCGACCAAATGTGTTCAAATTATCTGCTATGTAAACGACGGACCTGTGAATTCCCTGTTCCGGGTTAGCTTTTCCTCTTTAGGTTTGGCCCCCCCAATATATTGTCTTGTAACCTCTCCTTCACATCGCGAAAATACCGCACATCCTTGACCTCAGCCAATACTGCATCTTACGGCCAACCCCAGCATTACGCTTGAGATGACGTATTTTAGCCCCGGCCCTTCGCCTCGCACATCAATCAGTCGGCCGATCGCCGAGCATGTGCGCGTCGAGCGACATTCGCGCATACCCCTTTGTGAACCATCGCTCTTGTGGAGCGGGGCTTCACAAATCTGCGAAAGTCGACAAGAAACACGTGACAGTGGCATTTTTCACAATGGCCCACTGTTTTCACGGCCGGCATGTCTAAAGTCAAGATCGATCTTTGAATTTGAAGACCTGACAAGGCAACCTCGTCAAACCGTGTGCAAACACTCATTCCCGTCAAGCTGTACAGTTCCAGCTGTCGTTTGCTTTCTGGAGTTCGAGAGGATGGGTCAAACAACATTGCTTTTGGTATAGTCCAATCTTCATTCTCCCGTACTCTGTAAACTCCTCAACTTGGAAGTTGGCTAGTAAAATTCGGGCTTGGTCTGATTTTTCACTAAGATTGAACAAATTGCAATACATCCGCTCACTGCTTCCGGACTTGCGCAGCGACGATCGTCGGCAAGCGGGGTATTCCAAGATCACAGCGAATTAATATTGCATCTAAAGCTTCACCGCGATTTGTCATTCATTTCGTAATTGTGGTCGACGGGTATAACAAACAATTAGGAGAGACCTCGGGATGTCGTCTGGCCGATCAAGTCGCAGATATCGCTCATATGAGCAAGGAGGTCTTGCATTGACGAATCTGCACAGTAAAATCATTTGTGACGGTGTCTTCGAACCCCTGCTTCTCTGATAAAAGTGTTCCACCAAACCATTGAGGATCAGCAAGAGATAGGATTCTATTAATACGGCTCTCTTGAAACATTTCCTGCTTGTGTAATGCCTCAAAATTTCGAAGGCATCTCCCACATCTCGTCCCTGTCCTTCTCAGTCTATCTCCTGTCACGTTCTCATCCATTGTGGTACAGTATTCCACGCTCTCTCTGCTGAATAAGAAAGCCAGATGGTAATAGCTGAGAGGTTGTAGATTGAGTCTCATCATGAGCAAATATCGGGGAAATACAAGAGATCTTCGGTCGCGGATTTTCCATATTCAAGGACAGTTTGCAGCAAAATCTCATGGCCAACGTGTAGTTAACTACCATTCCGTAATGTATTTTTGGTTCATGAATTCCGCCCGCCCCCATTGTTAACACATTCCTTTCGAGATCCTCGATGTTAACGATAGGCAAAACCCACCGCGCTGCTAAATTTCAGTAGCGTGATTAGTTACTTGGGCCCTGATACACTTTCCTTTAGATTTCAAGTTCACCAGGAATCATGCTGACAGAACACCTACTTTGGATAGATTGGTGTTAGCAGCGGTGAGCATTGCATATGGCACAGCCACGGCGGGCCAGTCATAATTAGCACGTGACATAACGGATAATTGACTCGTGAAGGGAAACCCTGTTGGAATATCCCGATTGCTGAGATAATGAGGCTGGGATCACGTGCATACGTGTATCTATACTAGGGCGAATTGGATGTAACTATAGGCCAGTCATGATTATATTTTGCCCCATAGAAGGGTCACCAACGCGACACAAAAACCCCCAACAGTCGAGTACAGAGTATGCCGTTCTTTGCGTTGGCCCATAGATAGTGCTTTCCAATTTACTTGATTTCTTCGCAAATCCCGGTACAACTTTGTGTTGGCTGCGCTACTGGACGCAGCTAGTAGCAGTAGCAGCCGTAACGACTAGTATACCCTAAGCCATTTATTTTCTCACCTCTCAACCATATCTTTTCGCCCAGCGAGGACCCGATTGGCTTCGGCAGTAGTCTAGCGTCTCCACCCGTTCCTGGGACCCGCAAAGATTCAGGGCCCCGAACACATCAACCTCTTAAATTCGTGATAGGTTCCAACGTAAGCCATCAAACATCAATGTCTTGGCCCCATGTAGGTTAAATGAGATACCAACATTTGTCCGCCGGTGACTTATTGGCCATCCGCCCCCAAAACCTAGAGGCGAGTAAGTATCCTCAACGCAACCCCTGTCTGGACGTCGCTAGAAACTTGGCTAATATAGCGCCAAGGATGGCCCCCGTGTTACTTTTCGTCAGGTGGGATGGCAGTTTCTTCGCGCGCTCCGAGGCATGGCTTATTCGGGTACTTTGGCTGCCAAGGAGCCTTCATATGGGTTTCATCTCGCTTGGGTCGTCCGAGAAGGAGACGATGTAACAATCAGGCGAAGCAAACGTAAAAGAGAAGGATTATGGGGGCCGTAGTCAAGGCTCACAGTCAAGGCTTACAAGAGGTGTTCGAGACGAGCATCCGAGCGAGCGAAATGGGCCGAGTCGAGATGCAGAATGACTGCTCTATAAAAGCGTTCCCCATTCAGTATGTATGGATGTAGACGAGAAACATCTCCTTACCCACTGTCACTCGTTGTCTGTTTTTCTAGTTGATCACGATGACAAGGCTATGCGCAAGAGGAAATGTAGAATTGGCAAAGATGTGTGGGGTAAAGCGGCAAGCGGGTCTTCCAGATCCGTCGCCATGAGAAGCTACAGGCATCAGACTATTTCTCAACGCCTGCAAAAAGGGGGCTCGGCATACCAACAAGCATTTCGGGCCCTACCAGCTATGATTGATTACGTGCCTCGGCCTTTAAGGGAGAAGATCATTGCAGGCACGAAGAAAAAATCATTAAATTAGCGGCTCAACTTCTCAGAAGTTGGTATAATTGAATCCCTATGGTGCTATACTGTATTGCACAATACTCGGAGAAATGGTCCTATCGTATGGCTACTAGGTTTTCCTGCAGAGCCAAAACATGTAAGATGTCCATCACAAATTTTCATCGAGTAACCAACAAGCTTAGTGGATTAATAAGTCATATAACTCCGGCTTCGATCCAGTTCAAAGGAAAATTCAGCATGATCGAGATACGCAGTTAGAATGTAGTGGAGTACTGATCCAATTCAATGCAAGCCATAAAGTAACTTAGGACAAAGTTAGAATTCTCATGAGCTCTATTCTACTTGATTAGTGATATCTATGCCTCCATGGCTGGAGCATTCAATGGGGTGTTCAATGGGGAATCAATTCCAAATTGCTTCATCCGATTTACGGATATTAACCACTGTAGTGGGGGTTCTGCTCTCAACATCAGAATCATGTGATCAGAGCCTTAGCAATAAGGTGCCTGCTTACAGGGAGTTATTTAGTTCGCGCGATATCATTCCAGGAATACACACACCTGTTCGTGTCACCATTCTGTCTTTTCCTGCGGCAGGGATGATATCGGTATATCGTCCATGAAGGCTAGGATACCTTAGTATTGCCTCCTCTTGCCCGTAAATATGGCGAAGCTGGTGCTGTCTGTTGATAACTGGGGGTCTCGGGCTCTGATGATGACGATCTTCCTCTCATTCGTCGGGCCGACTGTCTTCTCGGTATAGGCAGGGGTGCGCAAGTAAGACTTTCACCGTCAGAGTTCTCGAAAAGCCACAAAGCCGGGTGCTTGTTTCTAACATTGTACTGAAGTTGTAGTATTAAAGTTGGTGAACATTATACGACCCAGTATCTTCCCACTTGAGCAGTATCCTACCGAGCGATATAGTAACTCAGTACCTTAAACAAGTAGGGTGAAGTAATTTGTTAACGTAGAATACCTTTTACCGAGGGCTAGGATATCCTTGATAATCATAGCAGAGACACTAGGTCGATTACTGCTATGGAGCGCTGTACGTAATGAGTCAGCGATACACTAATAGCTAGCGCAACAATTGCACCGTATGTCATATTTTGAAAAGGCCAACCTTCTAAGGACGATACCAAACATTATTCGGTGTGCCATTGGACTAGAATAATATTTTATCTGCCTAGCTTAAGTAGCTAATAAAACATTTAGGGGGTGTATGGTGTTGAAATGCTCTGCTGCTAATAGTATGCAGCCTGGTTCTGTCGATGCATACCGGGTTTAGGCATCTAGAAGCGTGGGGGCTGAGAATCAAGGTTGCACATGGCCAAAAATAGTGGAGTTCTGATCGACAAACCATCACCTGCCTGGAAACCCAGGGACCAGGGGTATGGTAGACTACATTAGCCAGGGTAAGGCAACGATGGAACGATAAATCGACCGAACCGAACTCACAGATTAATACCGTGACCACGACTACTCCGTGTTATTGAAACAATTCAACTAGATAATATCGCACACTTTAGAGAAAAGAAAAGCAATAGGCACGAGCTCTTTAGATCCGATGCCTCGATATTATGCGGCCGATTGCCTTTTCTGGATCTTGTCTTCTTTGGTCTTCTTGTGCAGATACGGGCAGCGAATAATCCAATGCGGAGTAGAATTCCGGTGCAGAGTCTGATCTGTTTCCAAGCGTTGCTTAGCGTGCATAAGGAACACCTGTGGGAGCTCCACATCCAATGCATTTCAAGGAATTATTATGCAGCAACTCCGGGTCACACCATGCACTTCCCCGTGTGGAGTTGTCGCAGAAAATGTGACGATGGAAGTCTTTCACTGGCTCCCGACAGGAGATTTGGCTTTTTGATGGCTACCTTTCCACCATACAAAACAGTCCTCTTGGAAAGCCCCACCGGAAAAGGTCCTGCAAGGATACAAAGCGGGATGGACTGGGGGTGTCAAAGCAGCCAAAAAAACACCCTGCCAAACAATCACGTTGTGTTGTGGGTCAGGTCGGTGGGACCCAACATGATTCAACCGGGGCACATCACCTTCCTGAATGGTCTGGGCCCGTTCGCACCGTACTTTTGATTCGTTGGAGTGGAATATCGACTTGATCCGGGTGGACTCCAGCTTCGACTTGAGTTATGTGTTAAACGGTTCGAGCGGACACGGGGAGTCCCGTCGCCGTCATCCCCACCTCTTTCCCACCACCGCCCCCCCTTTCCCAATTTTTCTTCGTCGATAGCTACAGCTTCAAGCTCCAGCTCTTTCACGATCAATTGCAACGATGAGTGACGTACCATTCGCGAAGATGGAGCCCATCACGGTGGTAAGTCGTATCAGCCAAGTCCGAAGGGCGGCGCTTTTCTCACGGCCACCCTAGGATCCGGATTTTTATGCTATGCACTCCAGCTATCACACCGAGCCGCAAGATTTCGCTTCGTTAGTATATCTCCTTCTCTATAGATGAGGTCGATAGCTCATCTTCTTACTATCATCATGCAGGGAGACCACCTCTCTTGCGTCCACAATCGCAAAGGGTCGCCTCGAAAACGGCCGCAGGTTAGTCTGCCTCCAGATCGAGTATTCACTGCGAAACTGACCGGGATGATAGATATCAAGCTATCAAGGATGATGATTACTGGTTGGTCATGAAACATGCCTCTAGATCTAACCTAAATTAATCATAACCAGGGGACCCTCTGATGAGCAGCAATTTGAAGCCTTTGAGATCGGGTAAGCGGCATCTCTCTCGCCTGCGCACAACAAGAAGTGAAGTAGCTAACAAACCCAGTCATATGGTGTTCCTAGTGTTAGATCACAACGAGCCAAACCCGCTTTTCCGCGCTCCTATCGGTGACTCGCCCAAGGTAAGTCATATATCAACAAGCCCATGCCTTGAAAATCGTACTAATGATGAACGCAGAACATTCTAGACATTGGAACTGGCCAGGGCAGCTGGGCAATGTATGTATACGACGTAGACTGGCTATGTTGTTGAGAAAGAAGCTCTAACAAGTAAATCAGTGATGTTGCCGACCTCTATCCCACAGCTACCGTCCGTGGCGTGGACATGTTCCCTCCACCTGTCACATGGATGCCCCCCCAACTGCGTCTTCGAGGTTGATGATATTCTCCGCGAGTGGACATGGAGAGAGCCCTTCGATTTCATCCACCTGCGTCTGATGTACGGCGCCTTTGATCCTGCTGGCTGGGAGAAGGTGTACCAACAAGCCTACGAGTAAGTTTGAGCCCCAACACTTTGAACCAAGATGCCAGAAACAAGAGAAAACAATGACATCTAACCTGCTCTTTCTTTTCCACCAACAGCGCCCTCGAGCCCGGCGGTTGGATCGAGCAAATGGAACTAGACGTGCGCGTCTACAGCGACGACAAAAGTCTGAAACCAAGTCACGAGCTCTACGGCTGGGGCGACATGTTCATCGGCTGCTCCGAACGCGCCGGCGACCGATCCCTCCGCACCCACGAGACAATGCGCGGCGCAATCGAGAAGGCCGGATTCATCGACGTCCACGAAGTCAAATACAAGATTCCCCTCGGACCCTGGGCCAAGGATAAGTTGTTGAAGGAGGCTGGCCACCTTCAGTTTGCGCACTGGAATGCTGCGCTGGAGGGATGGGCTATGTGGCTGCTCACACACCACGGTATGCCGGAGCCCTGGACTAAGGAGGAGGTTCAGGTCTTCCTTGCTAAGATCCGTACTGAGCTGAAGAACCCGCACATTCACGCTTATGAGCCTGCGTATGTTGACTCCCACTCTGTACCTGGTGGATTCTTTGGGGGTTACGGGCTAATTTTGATACTAGGAACCGTGTTTGGGCGAGAAAGCCTACCCTGGAGGAGCAGAAGGCCAGGGAGGAAAAGAACAAGGTCAAGGTCAAGGTCGAACCCTCGACTTAAGTTTTGATGAATTTGAATATATACTCGCATCTGATTAAGCATTGGCGGACTGCAGAACCTGGTTCCTTATAAACTACTAGTCGTAATTGGAATGTTTCGGCACTATCTATTCTTAGGTTAGTTAGCATATTGTTAATTCGACATTCAGTCAAATCTTGAAAACGCGAACTACCTAGGTAAATCAACTGGAATACAAACAAATTTCAAATGTTTTACGGTCGAGGAATTAGATAAGATGGAAGTTGAGTTGTGATAGTGGTGTAATGTTCATATTATAACAGATGAAAGCCTAATTTTTGACGCTTGAGATGATAGGACAGTAAAAACGAGAAACCAGCCGAGAGATGCTGCCAAGCACTAAACCATTTCCAACGCCGATGAGAGAATGCCACTTGGGGAGTGGATGATCCATGAACATGAACAAACTCAGAAACCCTTCGCTAAAAAGAAATGCACCAAAAAGCAAGTTAAATGACCATGCATGCCTTCCATTTACTCCATCATCAGCTCCATAGGCGGACGAGAAGTCTTCGGCGGCATCTTCTTAATCGACATATCGATGGGACTCAAGTCCCCATCCATATCGACATCGTCATCCAGGTCCAAGCTAACATCCTCGACCATAACTGCAGGCAGGTTGGGGCTATTGCCGTGGTCCTCGGGGTGAAAGATGATGGTGCTGCTACGGCTGCGCTGTTGCGAGCCGGCCAGGGGCCAGCTACCAGTGCGCTTGTCGGAAGTCATAGATACGGGCGTAGCGGGGTCGACGCCGAAAGACTCCGGCTCGGCTGGTTGGTCGGTCTTGAGCATGGCGAGGGCGGTGGCGAGATCACTGGCGTGCACTTCCTTGTTGGGCGGCTCCTCGTTGCGCATCACCCATCCGGCTGGAGGGCTGGGTGGCGGGGAAATAAAGAAGAGCTTGTCGGATTGCGGGGCCTGCAGGAGCTTGGGACCATCCTGGCTGATGAGCGGGGTGGGTTCGCCGAAGTAGATGCGGGGAGTGATCTTTCGACCAAGGAGCTTGTTGCCCTCGAGGGACTTGCGCACGGTGATTGCGGCTTCTTCGGAGTAGAAGGAGCAGACGATGCGGCGGAGGGAGGGGAGCGGTGAGAAGGAGTTTAGGGCGGCGAGGACCAGGATTTGGTTGCGGATTGCATCCAGAGAGTTTGGTTGGAATAGGACGAGGTCATTTAGGTCGGTGATCAACAGTGTGTTGGAGGGGGGGCGTTGGCTGGGAGAGCGCGGGGAGGTTGGAGAGATCAATGGAGAGTGAAGGCCGAGATGATGACCTCGAGGAGCGGGTTTGTTGGAAAGAAGGGGAGGCAGCCAGAGACTGAGGAGGAGATGTTTGAGCCATAGTGTGTGATGTGTGATAAAAATTGGGTGTTGTAGAGTAAGGTATTGTGTTGAGAGAAGTCGCAGTTCATGGGAGGTTGGAGTTTAAGGTAAAGTAAGAGGCGGAGAGATTGTGATAGGGGGGGTTCGCCACCGGATAAGCGCTCAGTGCCACTGGGGGATCTAGATTTCTAGATTTTTTGGTGGAGGCGACTTTGGTTTCGTGGATGTCTTTTAGTGTCTTAGTGAAGAGATTTCTAGACCAAACCGAGAGGTTGATAGGTATTTATTACTATGGAGAGTGTCTGCTTCCGTAAGTCCGCTCTTGGATGGGATGAGGCGCAGCCACGCGGTGATGTAGACATCCGAGGATCGAAATGCCTGCACAGCCCAGTCCACTCGCGGACGAAGCCGATTTAGCATTGTTTGTTCCTGGCGATCCACCCCGGCATAGCCTCTTTCTCTCCAATGATTGCGCATCTTATGACCGTGAACGGCAAGTGATTCGCAGGCTATGGACGCGGAGTGTTGTGTATGCGCCACATATTCATGCGCCACACCCTATCTCTGCGCGGAGCTCACCAGCCACAGGGACAATCGTGCCTTCCAGTTTGTGCGCAACTTCGGCCCCTTTGGGAATCTTCCAAGGCTTGGCCATTCTCTATTCACTTTGACTTCCCCAACTCCGCCTCATAATTCGCCCCCAACTAGATTACTTCCCCAAAGCCTTTCATCCTAATGAATCTGCCTACGTCCAACTGTTCGGCTTGGCCTCCTTCTGACCCTCTCCGTGGGCAGTGCTCTGGCGGAGTCAATTGGCTGAGTCAATCCTGAGCGTCCTCCGGGGTTATTGGAATCTAGTGCGACAAAGCCCTGTCTCTGGCAGATCTGTCATGAAGCAGTTTGAAAGCTGCGAGGCAACTCTATTATTTGTTTATCTACAGCTACTCTCCGTTTGCTACCCTTCGGCTTTCCAATGGACCCGCATCCGGCGCTTCACAGCCCACCTTGATCCCGCAACGAGGCGCAACACTGTCTTATTTTTTTTTTAAGACAGGCAACAGAAATCGTCATATCCTAACATTTACTGGCTGCTAGAGTCAAAGACGGGTGTGGTAGATCACCTGGGGCATCATGGGTTTGGCCCAATGCCTCACTGCATATTTACGGTCGTCAACCTGGTGGAGCGCCGCGTATTACAACACGCGCCTGATGCCAAATTTGGCACCCTGGTAAGCTGACTATTACATGATCCCCCAGTCGTTCCTTCGCTTGTTACTCCCCAGACTGGGTGAGGCTCTACATAGCCGCTGTCTGGCATCAGTGTACATTCAGAAGCGCTCCGCCTCGAGAGGCGAACGGCCAAGGCCAAGGTCACGAGGCGCACCTGCTATCGCCACGCTAGTCTGCAAAATTACCTTGGGTATCTTGTTAAATTAATCTCCATGACTTCCACAGCCTCGTGCAAACGGAACGAGCGGTACCCGAAATCCGTCGGGCCCCAGGGCTAATACCATAGCCCTCGAAGCCCGGGCCTATATACATGACTCATTTCATAATCAAGAAATGCATTGGCTCATGATATTCATGGCTGAGAAGTAAATTTTTTTTTTTTTCAAGTTGAGCCCTAAAATTCGAGTCCCGACAGCTTGAGAGCCTGAGACAGTCAACTAGTAGTAGATTAATCAATAAACAACCCACCAGAGGCAATGATATGTGCCCCATTAATCCACCGAGCTCTTTCTTCACACAAAAATCCAACCGCATACGCGATCTCGTCCGGTTGTCCCATACGGGGCCCAACAGGCGTTTGGTCGATGATCGGCTGGAGAATTTTCATTTGCTCATCGCCAGCTGCAGCAAACCCCTCCGTCCGCGTCGGACCGGGGCTTACGGCGTTAACCGTGCACCCGTATTTCGGAGGCAACTCCTTCGCCCTGTGTTTTGTATCAGCGATATGTCCTTGATCAATCGGACACGGGGAAGGATCAGTCCGTAGCTTACCAGCACTTTGTGAACGAGTCAACCATCCCCTTCGTCCCGGCATATATGGTCTGATTCGGTGGCGGACCTCGAGCAGAGATACTCGCAATATTGACGATCCGCCCACTTCCCTTCGTGAGATGTGGCAGTGCAGCCTTGGTAAGGAGGAATGTGCCGCGGCCGTTGATATTCACCAGGAGATCCCAGTCTTCCAGCGTCTGTTCTTCCAATGGCTTGTTGACGGCCAATGCAACACAGTTCACGATGATATCAAGACGCCCCCATTTCGCAACCGCAGCGTCGACTAATTTCTGCGCAGAATCGACTTGCGACATGTCTGCTTCCACGGCAATCGCGGATGATGGTGACTCTAGTGATGAAATTACAGCATCGGCCTCGGCTTGTAGATCGGAGAAAGGGTAGTTTACGACAGTGTTGGCACCGCGTGATGAGAGCTCTCGCACGATAGCTGCGCCTATTCCTGACGAGGAGCCACTGATAATGGCCACCTTGCCGGCGAGGGTTTGTTCTGGCATGTTGCTCGATAAGATGATTCGAGAGAGGCGGGGAGGTATAAATGGATTGTTGAGAGCAATTGGGAAAAACTTCCTTCGATGAGGTGAAATTGGTCTCGAATTTTATTTTGGAGAATTACTTGGTCTAGAATGTCATACAAGATCCAAGGTGAGTGAGCTCTTTTCTATGGGACGGACCTTGGAAAGACTCAAGTACTTGTGAGTGTTAGTATACACTTTTCCCCGCCAAATATCTCCACATCCCGAGATTTCCCCCGCATCAATACGCGTCTCCGTCTCCACACGAAAAACGCGGGAGACCGTAAGCCATCAAGGGCAGAATGGGCCATACGGTAGGTGGACAATTTTGTGAGAATCACTTACTGGAGGACATATTCTTTTGATTTCGGCGAATTTTCGACTCGGATGCTGGGGTCTGCAGGGGTCTGCTAAAGAGGCCAATTATTGACTGACTTCCCGCAAGGTCGGGAGAGACGATTCATTATTGCGATTGGCTTCTGCGCGCCAAGATCCCGTGACAACCCATCCTTTCCTTTGAGGAGATGGCCGACTCGGCCTGAAGGCAAAGAATTACTGGAGGGTAGCGTGGCTTTACAAAAGAAGGTGGTCGCCACTTCGAGTCGTAGAAGTCTGCACGATGAGTAGATGACTCGGAGACAAAGAGGGTGGCCCACAGCTTCCAAGTTTTTTATCAAAGGGGTCCCGAGGTATAAAGTCAGCACATCTACCACGCAAGTACAGGCACTAGGGAATCAGACGGTGGCTCGACAGAGTGTCCTCAAAAGGCCTTTGGAACAGCTCACTCGAGCCATTCTTTGTATGCGGAATTTCCGCCCGGTGTTATTCAGAAATTGTGAGAACTATGCGCCAGGCCCAGAAGGTGACCCACAGAAAGTAGGAGTGGAAGGGAGACTGAATATCTAGGTAGTCCACCCAGTCGATGAAAGGCTTGTGAGTCATCTTCACTTCGATCGGTTCGCACGAAATCTCCGGTCTGAGATCTGGTACGAAGAATACTGTGAGCTAGACTGGAGATTATCCGCGACCCGGTTGACATGAAGATGACTCGGAAGCCCTTTATCAACATATACTAAGACTGCATGAAATAAAATCTATTACTTTTCATGGGCACCAGTAAACCAGGCGGTGGTTTCACGGGAGTCGCTCTGATTGGCGAAGAGTTTCCGAGCTATGAGAACAGCCCAGACTGTCGCGCACAATCTCCAGTTCCATCTCGAAGAATAGTGTCAAGAGCGTCGTGGAGTATAGACCATCGCGAAAGAACAGTACCAGGACTTGGTGGTTGATAATGGGGATCCTTCAGGGTTGAGCTTTTGGGTTATCTGTTACTACTTAAGTACAATCATTTATGGAACATGGAGGGTTTACACCTTGGTAGTGCCATTCAATCCTTTTCAAAGAATCTGCACAAGGGTACTATTAGGTTTGTCACGGAGGTCTCATACTCCGTAATGTTTTTCGTTCTATCATTTGTCCCAGGCCAGAGATCATGCGCGGTTAGATGAGCTGTTATCATGGATCGGCAATGTATACGAAGACTGCATGGAAGGAGGAGCTATTTATTCTGTATTTCCACGAAGCGCGATATGTAGTCATTTGATTTAACATTATTCACATTCAGAGTCGTTCCATAACGTGTCCACCCCATAAGGCGATCCACGAAGTGATTAAGTATAAGTTATACCGCAAATCATTTTTACATTAGCTCAATGCTGGGCCTGGTGTCGGGCGTGACGTCCAATATGTCTCTTGACCTCACAAGCTTTGTCGGTGGTCTTTTGGGACTCGGAGCTTTCGGAGTTTTCGGTGGCAGCTTGGATCCGCTTGGTCAGATTAGCGAAGTCGGCGGCGGAGATTTGCTCTGAGGCTTTAGTCCAGCCAAGCTCAAAGGGAAGTCGCTCGTTCTCTGAAAGATGCCAAAAGTCAGCCGATGTGCTAGCAGGCATGATGCAAAGAATAGGGTTCAGCCTTTCCAAGACTTACCGAAGAGGTACTCAACCCAAATCTTCTCGACGGTGCCCGCTGCTTTGTCACCCATCACGACGATAGGGAAGATCGCCTCGCCGAAACTTGATGAAAGAATAGACTCGGGGATGTCAAAGGTGGGGTTCATCGCTTTCGATGATTTGACGCGAGCTTGGCGAGCATTTGCTGCTGATTGAATATCGATCAGGGAGCCTGTCCAGTAGGAACGTGTTTCATCGAAGGCGGCCTTATTGAAGGTGTGATCATTGCCAAAATAAAAGTCCTGGCGGCTGTGAAGATAAGTCAGAATGGTCCTGCATGAGGGGCAATCTTTTGGCTAGAAAGGACTGTGGGCCGTATGGCGGCAGCTCAACTGACCTCATGCTGGCATCGTGCTCCACGACATTGTGACGGGTCAGATCGCTCAATGAGAACGTAGTAGCATTCTTTTCTGGGTTTGCAGAAACCCCATTCTGGAAGAGGGCCGTGGCAAACTCCTTATCGATATTGAGAACATTTCCTAGTACAGTAATGGTCTGTTCTTCAGAGATATCTTTCCCATCGTGGGGAAGATAGCCATGGTTTGCCAATGTGTTCAACATGGGGCATGGGGCCCGCGCTGAAGAAGATCAGTTTCTCGTATCCGTCGTTTAAATTGATTAAAAAAACGTACCGTCATTAGGACCAGCGGGTTTCCACGCAACAGGGGGGTGGTTGGCGGGAGGGCTCAGGGCGGAGGCCTTGGCCAGAATGACAGTCGCTGTGAAAAACAATCGCAATTGCATCGTGAAGGAGTGACACGGGTTGGAAGGCAAAAATCAAAGGCAAAAACGGACTGAAATGAAGAATTGATTCAACGCTTTGGTTTATAAAACTACGAAATGCAAGTGTGGGAAAACCCACTACGATCCCAAATAATTGTCAGCATTGAAATTCCCACAAGAAAAGCGGAGCTAGTTGAAAGCCGGCTTGCAGATCGCAATATCGGATGGAGCCAAATCAAGGCAAACTAGACTGCTTAGATACCTTAGCCTGCACTAGTTTCGATAAACTTGTCTCAAATTTGAGCATCAACGAACCTTATCCCTGAATAGGAACCGGCAGGGCACCACATATTGGCCCGTGTAAATCGGCAGCCTTTTGATCGCAATATTTAGCCCTCTGCTAACAGCTTAATAACCAGAATGATTGGACGATCGGTATTCACAGGGTAAAGAAGTTGAAGACCGAGACCGAGGGAAAGGCACCGGATGAGAGCCGGCAGATCGTGCTTTTCATCGTACCCACGCGGGTGCGCCCGGCCGTGATGCAACTCCGCGGCATAACTTCAAGAATTCTTCTGTATAACTTCACATAACTCTACGTTCCTCGTAGTCTGAAGATGTGTAATCCCAACCTTTAAATTCTCCTCTCTGCGGTGACAATATAGCATATTAGTTCCTCGATGCTACAATGCTAGCCAACCGAGTACGGAGTAGCAATCTATATTTCAATAGTGTGTCCAGAATTGGAAATCAAAGAAAGCGTGATGGGATGAAGGATTTTTTTGTCCTTTTACCCCTGAAGAAACATACTATCCCGAGGTCTTCCATACCGTGACCTAGATATGCAACGATACCTCGCATATCAGAGTCCTTCAACTAGGTAGAAATGTATCTAGTACTAAGTACTTCCAATCTGTAAACTCGATCTACCAAAATCTAGATCACCCTGATCATCAAGATGCAGTTACATGTGACGATCTACCCTTTGTACTAGCATAAAAAAATAACCTCTGCGCACCAACCCGAATTTGCCGGTCGCCAACCCATTGAACCATAATTGATCGTGGGTCGTGGCTTCGTGGCGCGGCGGGCCGCTACTGGGTAACCATGTTTCTCGAACACGTGAACCACAATAATTCAGTAGATAGGTAATTCATTGGAGCTACTCTGTACTCCATAATGTCATGCAAGCTCCTTTTTGGGAAAGAGAAGAAAGAAAAACAATTGGTCATTTCTCAATACTTGGGGAAAAAAGATCAAGGTGTAATGACAGAGTAATTTATTGCTGCCTGCGAATTTGTGCCAGTGGGCAAGCAACCCATATCGATCGGTGCTAGGTCTAACGGGCACCTGGGCACTGGAGGAGAATATTTGGAGTGTCTAGCTCCCTTCAAGTTTCTTACAGTGATACTGACTCTCTACCCAAGTGTAATGAGTTGATCTTTTTACCCGTGTTGTGTTATGTGCTTGAATAGGAAATGGTTCAAGCCGATCCGCTTTGTCTGTATCTGAATGATAATAGATCTGTATGGATTTGGTATCCCTGCGTACTCCGTACAGTTTTCCTTAAGTGTGTGGGGACCCACCGGATCTCAGCGGAAACTTGAATCTGGACGTCGGTGCTAATGATCGGAGAGAAGTTTCCATATTCTAGTAGACTAATTGTCTTATTAATTTATCAGCTTCAAGTTGTTCAGTAGTAACCTTGGTGAACCTAACAAGGAAGTTTATGAATATTACTTATCGGAGGTGTGCTACTGGGAGAGACCAGATATGGGGGAAGATGATGATGGGATGATGGGATGATGGGATGAAGAGAGAGAGAGAGAGAGAGAGAGAGAGAAAGAAGCTATCTAGACATGGCAGGCACGCGCCCTGAAATGCCTGGGGCTAGAGTCTTAACGGGAGACGGGGAGAGAGGAATAGGATTCATAAAGGAGTGCCCTAATCGAGCTGGTATCCTGCCATCATCAGTGGAATACAGTGAGGTCGGGTAAGTGTGTTTCTGATTGTGCTCAAGAGAGCTGTGCGGTGGGTGTCGGAGGAAGCATTATTGGTGTGTTAGGTCATGAGAAGATTCTTAGCGTTTTGTAAGCCCCCCCCCCCCACCGGCCCTCTACGTTATGCTGTCAAATCGGGGAAGGGGTTCGCGGCTGCCAAAGTCGTCGAGGGCATATGCGCTCACTTGATAGCATTTAGCTTGTTGTCAAATGTTTCTTCGCATTGGCTATTAGAATTTAACTAGTAGCTCACCTGTTGTGGTTCTCCTTCAACGACAAGTGTTTACAGCTGGCTAGTAGGAGAAAGCCACCAGCCATTTTTGGCAGCCGTCAGATACACGTACAACATGAGAGTAACACAACTACTGCGTGTTAACATAAATAAGAATGGAAAGAGGTCACCATTTATTAGGGCCGAGGAGCATTGTGTATTGAACATATGAGAGGGTATCTGTATTAAAAAGGTATAAATCAAAAATCCTAACTTAAACAAGAATCGTAAAAACTCCGTTTGGTTTCCCAGTTTCCTGACTCCATATGACATCAAGTCTCTTTTCCTATAGCTGTCTCCTTCACTACCAATATAGAGCACATTTAACATTTTTCGCGGACAATGTCACTATACCGATGGATTTCAACGCCTTCTTCAGCCGTGTGAGAACCAAGAGGGCCCTTCTGAACACTCATATTTGTCGAGGATGTTGTAGTTGTGGTAGTGGTCGTCGTATTTAAATGAGACTTCCCAGATCCCTTGCTTCCGGATCGAAGCTGGGACCAGAATCCAGGTCGGCCAATCTTGAAAAGGGGTCTGAGGTTGGGGAGACATGCAGCCACAATGCCAACGGCCGCTTCAACGCAGGTCCAAAGGACAACGGGGGCTTGGTTATCTGCATGAAAAAGTTAGCCTTGTATCTGGCGGTAAATAAAGTGAATCGGTGTACATACACGTAATGTCAGGACCCGAACGTGACAGGATAATCATGCGCCACAGTCGGACACAGTCAAAGATCAGAGTCCTATTTAAAGATAAAGTCAGAATATTTCCCTAATAATTTCGGAGAGTACCAGACTCACAGGCCTCCGACAATAAAGACTCCAGAAAGCATCATCTTTTGAGATTTTGGAATCGGCAGGGTCCAGACCACTTTAAGAGGCATAACTAGAATGATAGCATCCGAAAGAATATTTGGAATCTGCTGTCCGTATGAAAAAGGTGCAATACCCATGCAAGCTCCCTCGAGTGAACGATCCCAGAATTTGGCTACTGGTAGACAGTTGATGGCACCAGCAATAAAGTTACCAATCATCCAGACAACAACAAATGATGCCATCAAGTTGACGGCGTAGTTCATCTTCTTGGTAGAAAAGATCCGCTTATACAGCGCCAAAATAGATAGCTTGATGAAAGCAATGCATCCTGGATAAACAAAATTATTGGCCCATGCAACCTAAGCAAAATCAGCAATCACGTCTTTATTGATCGATCGTTTTATCTCGTACCTTGAAATACCATTCAAGGTTCTTCGGTGGGATAGTATCGATATGGGAGCCTAGGCCGTTGTAGAGGACTGTTTGCACGATGAGTATCTCTCTTTCTGAAACTTGCAGCCAGTAAACTCACGCGTAGTGACTCCGATTGAGCATCCATATTTGAATAGCTAGTACGGAATGAGTTAGTCAATTGCCCAATGTGTACAATTTCATTCGCGAAATTTGACACTCACCAGAGCAACAAGCATCAGCCAGTCATCCAGGTACAGTCTACCACCAGCCACTCGCCTCGCCAAGAATCGGAGGCCCACCGCAACGGTAGAGAGCAGAAAAGCAAAGACAAGTCCAACACTGATAGACCACCGTAATTCCTCATTTGGGTGTTCAAAGTCACCCGAAGTCCACGTGTGCTCGGACATTGATGAAGCCATGTCGCGCAATCGGGTAAGCGCTTTCTGAAGGAAGGCAAGATTAAACGAGAGGAAAATATTAGTGTCGAAAGATTTGGAATCATCTTGAGTTAAATAAACTCGTGGATTGAGGAGGCACAACAAACCCAGGGGACCGTTCAAACCAGGGATATCGTATCCACCAGAGTTGTGTGGATCTCTCACAAATGACATGAGAACCCCGCGAATCATAGAGGTGGAACAATTCCGGGGATCAAAACTACATCTTGCCGAGAACAATTTCGATGTCAATTAAAGCCACGGAAGTAAATAGTGTAGTCCTTTCTTCCTCCAAAAGGCATCGAGAACGACAATCATTCTATCATCTGATAGAACTTCATTGTTTATGCGTGTGCTTTGACCGTTAATAACATGCAAGCACTGCTCTTGGCCTTCCGGACATATCATTCTGCAAGGCGGACTTGTCATATTTCGGCAATCATGCAAACGCCCGCGGTGTTGTGCGCGATTACATGACGTACCGCTATTAACTGTTTGACACATTACCTGTATATCCAAGACACTGTATTTTCCTAATTTTGAAAGTTAAAATCTCTTTCCTAGCTTATGACTGCAAAATAGAATGTGCTCCTAGATTTTGTGCTTGTGAGTACAGCACTCCAAGCTGTTATGCGATGGGTAACATAAAGTTTGACAGCCAGGGAGAAGTCAATTCCCCGGACTCCCTGGGAAGAAGCAAGGGAGATAAAGCTAGAACCCAGGTAGCTAGACAGCCAGTAAGGAGACCTGGGATTTTCGGATGGTAAAGCAAAAACAGCGGAGTACTGTTTTCCTTCGGTAACTAGGTGTAATGAGAGAGCTTGATGTGTCCACATCGGTTAGGTGAGTTGATGCAAGTGCGTTACAGACTCATCGGATCTACCATTAAAAATCCAAGCCTAATTTAATTCGTATCTGCAAAAGTGGGATGCTGTCATACGAAGAATGGGGAATTGAAGTGGGGCTCGGACACTTCATCTGTGCGTATTTTGAGGCGATCAGTCCGATTCAAATGTTACACATCTATTTCTAACCACATGTTCGGACATTCAGCCCGAACAATTTAGCGATACAGAGTCAAGATTGCTAGCCAGTAATGAAAGCTCCAATCAACTTGAGTCACATCTCCAGGAATCTCAATGCAGATCATGCATGGTATCTATGTCAGATCTGAGATCTGAGGCATTTTTTGCTTTTGGCTTCGTGCCAAGTTTTGGTTTTTGGCATGCATTCGAGAACTCCGGTTAGATAAAGCCGGGGCTCCGGTGTCTCTCAAAAACCTGATACATATAACGGCTTTTCTACTCCGTACTCGAAGAGCATTTGATCATTTGATCATGTTATTTGCCCGGGCCTCCTGGAGCCCCTCTCGGACGTTAAGTTTGCTGGCGGCAACCTAGTCCGCCAGAAAAGGCTCCCGGGCAAGCGATCAATCCAGCCCCTACGAAAATCTACATGACATGATTTGCACCCTGCGTTCCTCGTTAACCAATCCGGACTGATTCTTTAGAGTGTGGGGTGGGCAGAGATCGGACCCAGTCCAGCCCTATACTCCTAGACCTCCTTGACAGCTATTAGAATAGGTATCCTTGACTTATTTTCCGATCAGTAAGGAAAACAGGCTATGAGAGAACTTCAATTTACTATTGTGTACATCATCGAACCTTATTAAAAAGAAACAAAGATTACTGAAACATAACCAGGTTTATTGCATAAACATTGTCTCGGCCCTAGATTAAGCACTCCAGGACCTCTCTAGTGATCTCGAAGAGCAACCATTATACCTCATCTTTCTTTGTTCCGAGCCTCCCTGGAAGCTGCAGAGCTCGTCACAAAAGCCAGGCAGCAATGGCCGATCTAACCCTACCGAGAATTGTTACAAATCATTCAACGAACGCGCCCGTGTCTAAGACGAAGATTCGCATAAAGCTCGGTGTTCAGGTTGCTAGAATCACCGGAAATAAGATAAAGTGTTGAAGTCCTTCCGTTAGTTGTCATCAATTATTCGAGTGCTGAAGACACAACGCCCATTGATCATCGAAGACATCGATGAAGAAATTTTAGCGAAACACCAGAGGATTAAAGGATCGGTTGACAAGAGTCTGCTCGAGTATTCTTATCGCAACGCTGTAATATCTCGTGTGTTGGGTGCGAGTGTAAAGAAGAGGAGTCACAAGTTTGATCAATCGGCGTTCAAGAAAGGCGTTTATATGTACTACAGTACCAACGAGCATTGTCGCCCTGGCTTAGGGGGATGTCATGTACTGGGCACTGTACTTCCCCAAGATCAAATCAAAGCTGCCCACTTTGTATCCAAATCTATGACATCCGAGGAAGTTTCCTACCTATTCGGAGTCACTGGAAGTGAGAGTTCTTGCTGACTCCCGTAATTGTAAGAATGTTCTCTTTGCGGCCGAATGAATGACTGACTGATTCATACAAATCAGGCATCACACTGGCACATAATATTGAGCTACTTTCGACCAAGGTACTATCGCGATTGTACCCGGCCCAATGAAAAGTCCAACTCGGTGGAAGAGTGTTGTCTTGGAAGAATCAAAAATGGAAAACAGCATCGGTATCTCGGGTGGATCCTATATGGGATTGAAGGTTAGTTTTGCAAAATCTAGAGTTGATAATTATATTAATTTGATAATATCATAGGATATCGACAACAAGCCATTGAATTTCGTTTCCGATAGCCGTCCTCGCGGACGGTATATTTACTTCTGCTTCATAATCGCATGCCTGAATGCAAAGAGCCGAGGAGCCAGTGACGCCGTTGCGGAAAAGGTTGAAACCACACGTTTTTGGCCCTCTGCCGGCGAGTACCTCAATCGGTCAACGCTGATTATATGAGGGTGGTGTATTTCTGGATCAGAACTCCCTCAATCCCTTGTTCAAGACAAGACGTTTGACTAGGGGGGATAAATCTACTCGTGACGCTGACGCTGGAACTGCGCTTGGAGCTGATGTCCGTGACGCAATTCTCGCCATGAAGAGTCTCTAAATCATTGCTATACTGTAGCCCTGGATGATAACCGACAGATGAGCGAAATTTGCTTTTGTTCTTTTCTCGATTTATACTTTCGCTTTCGCTTTTGTTCAGCAGCGACTAAAACTACTACATTCTTATTCCTCTATTCATTGATGATCCACTCATTGTCAAAGGTTACATCTAGAAATGTAAATTTGACCTTGTTGCGTTTTCCAAGGTTTGTAGCCTGTATGAACATCATCTGAGTCCTCGATTGTTACTAAAAAAAATGTATTCATCAACCACCGTGATTGATCTAGGTAGTAGATTTAGCTGTTTGGCTTCCGCGACTGAAATTGCGTTTGAATCAATCAGGTACCAAAACGGCCAAAATCTCCGCGATGGGAAATTACCAAGTAGGGGCTTAGCTCAACCCCACAACATGGACTCACGAGTAAACCGAGCGAAAAGGGACGGGATTGAATTCAGCTGAAAGTGAATAAATTTTGACATCTTTATGGTCACCAGTGAAAACGAGAGGAGCCATTCGAGCCTCAACGTCACCTGCAGGACCGGAGGATAACTAAAAGTGCTTGGTCGAGTGCATAATAGAGCCCGGAGGTGTTACATGGCAATCGGTGGTCAATTTTGGCCTCAAAAGCGGTGGTTTTGGCTTCAATCCCACGGGTTAACATATTCTACTTGTAAATGTTCACAAAGAGGAGAAAGCAAAGACTTAATGTCGGGGTATAACATTCCTCTGGTTGGTAAAAGTCTTCCTGGTCTGGGAAAGCATTTCCACCCGAATACTTGAAGTTGAGCAAGGCAGAGCCTGGTTGCGTGAAACCTTCTTGGATGCCTTATGACATTTCGTGCCCCGGGTGCAAGCAAGTTACTCCCCAGCCCTTGCATTCCTTGCAAATTTCGAAGGAAGGACATTCTTGACAAGAGTAATGATCATTCGGGTCATCCGATAAGGGGACCATGCAGACGGTACATGTATCATCCGTTCTATTTTGAATTTTGACAGACTCATAACCTGAATGAGATGGATTCGTTAATACTGATGAGTCGTACGAGTTTCGTGTCAAAATGCTCAAAATCTCAGGTCTGTTTCTCCGGGTAGCTTCGGTGATAGCTGACCGGCCATAGACATCCTCAATTTCTGGATCGAGTGGTGTGTCTGGAATTTCCAACAATGCCGCAACCGCTCGTTCCATTCCAAAAGCTGTAGCAATAATCAATGGGGTGCGACCATATAAGTCACGATGGATCGGGTTGCTTCCCGCTCTGATGAGAAGTAGAACCAAATCCTCCGAATACAACCTGAATGCAGCTAATATTGGAGCTGTTCCATCTGAGGGATTTGGATCAGCTCCACTCTCTAGCAGCAGACTGACTGTTGCTTCTACTGCTTTACAGCCTGGCCAGTCGGCTATTTTTGATGAATCGTAGCGAAATGCATCCAGATGTCGCTCAAGTGCCCATGTGAGAGGTGCTTTGATCGAGCCTTCAACCTGATTTGGGCTGACATTCTTACCGAGGAGCATTCTGACGACTCTCTCATGTCCATCAAGAGCTGCCAGGCAAATTGGTCTGATGCCAAATTGATTTTGGGGGTCTGGGTCTGCTTTGTATTCAAGCAATACTTGTGCTAAATCATCTGCCCCATTGTGGGCTGCAAAGGCCAAAGGAGTCCAGTGGTACCATTCCTCCTGGGCGCTGAGACTTTGCAAATCCAGAACCTTTGAATTTTCTAATTGCTCTTCTGTTTCAGTTATTGCCTCTTGGGGGCCAGGGCTGGGTGTTTCAGTGGTGTTGGGGTCAGCGCCCTTTTGAAGCAAGAGCCTTGCGATCGGTGCATTCTCGTGTCTGATTTGAGTCACAGTGAGAAGCGGCGAAAATCCGAGCTGGTTTTTGGAATTGATATCGATGTTTTGAAGTGAATTATGGTCCAACAAAAATTGAACCATCGCAGGTGACTTCGAAAGAACGGCATAATGAAGAACGTTTAGACCTCCTTCGTCAACTAAGAGCGGATCTCTTAGGTTGGCTAGCATGAATCCGACAAGATCAGTGTTTCCACTCTTGACCGCAAAAATCAAAGCAGGTCCATTATCCAGCTCAGAAGCTTGAAATCGCTCGAATAACAGTCTGACCATATTGAGATCACCGTCACTGGCTGGGGCCTCAAGAAGAGCGGATACTGGCTGTCCATCAATTACATCCTCTTCGAGGGTATCCAGCACCATTTCAGTCATCATAACATTCCTGGATGACACCGCTCCTTGAATAAGCCCCGAGTCTCTTCCCTTGATATCCTCGTTATCTTGAAGAACCTTCGAGACTAGTTCACAAGAGCCTGTTGCCGAGATCCAGTAAAAAGGTCCATATTCGCAAAGTTCAACTTTATCATTACGTCCCAGACAAAGGAACTGTAAGAATGTACAGACATCTTCATCGGTTAAGGAGCTCAGCCAATCACACCAACCCCACCATTCACGGGCAATCGAGACAAGCTGCGGGAGATTTTCTTTGGGGGGTAGAGATTGACTACATCTGGTTATAATCGTCTCCAATACCTCATGAATTTCCTTCAAATCTGAGTCGAGCTTCTGCGGAGAGGGGCAAGCTCCATTACCAATGAGCAAAATTGCAGTTTCAACAAGATTGGTGTAGCTGCGGTCTCCCGGGAAAAGTTGTTTGGTGGCTGGGCTGTTCATATAACAAACATCCTTGGCGATGTTGAATAAAGGGGTGCATTGAAGAATGTTTATTGGGTCCGGGTGTGCACCTTCCGCTAGTAATAGCTTGCATATCTCGGGGTTGACATATTTGGTTGCGCCAAACAGTGCTGTCTCGCCCATACCGTTGATTTGCCCAACGTCTGCTCCTTTTGACAGTAGGAAACTCACGGTCTGCACGCAACCACTTTCAACCGCATAGAACAGAGGAGTGCTACCAATGATATCCGGCGTGTTGATTGATAAGCCCGCATTGAGAAGAATTCCCACAATCAATGGAGTTGCCCATCGTGATGCCGGAAAGAGGGCAGTCTGGAAATGCCCATTCTGCAAAGTTGGGTCTGCGTCGTTTTCAAGAAGATGACGCACGACTTCGGTATGCCCATTCTTGGATGCAACAAATAGAGGCGTTTCTTTCTTTCCATTTCGTACGTTAGGGTCAGCACCGTAGTTGAGCAACTCATGAACAACTTTTACATGACCCAATCGTGTTGCACGAAAGAGAACAGTCTCCGCAACATGAGGCGGGCCAGATGTCATGGCTCTGGCCTCGGGTGGCTGGAAGAGCTGGAAGATATTGTTGAACATGTTCATCATTTCTTCTCTAGATACGGGCTCCATCTCAACCTCCCAAGGATACGATCGGTGGAGCGAAGGGGGCGAATATATGGCGTTTGGATCCGCCCCAGCTTCGAGGAATTGACGTACTATTACCCCATCTCCGCTTTCAATGGCATAGTAAAAGGTTGAAGGTGAGGCTTCCAGTGTAGCCCCTCTGCGAAGCAGTATCTTGACTAATTCTTCATTTCTTCTCGCCACTGCAGCTGACAGAGGAGTATCGCCCTCTGAATTGGCATAATTTGGATCGGCCCCATTCTCAAGAAGAAGAACAGCTGCCTCTTTGTGGACAGTAGAAACAGCATTGATTAGGGGAGTTCCCACAGGATCGGTCACATTGTCGAGGATAAATATCGGACCGTCGTTTTTCAGCGCGTCTGCCCTATCGAAGAGCGAATAGTAGTCGGGATCATCTTCCAGCGACTTAAGCGCTTTAGGATCATGTGAATAGTCAAGCTGAACTTTTTGAGAGACTAGAAGCTTGATCATTGCAACCTGTCCAGTAGTAGCTGCATAGGCCAAAGCTGATCTCCCTTCACGATCGCGAGCATCGGGGGAAGCACCACGCAAAATCAGAAGCTCGGCCATTTGCACACGCCGGGCGATAGCCGCATACATAAGAAGAGTTTTCCCGTCATGGTCTCTGCAGTCTGCATTCACGCGACCAGAATCAAGAAGTATCTGTGTTGATTCAATATTGCCATTTTCGATCGCCCACATTATAGGCACTTTACCAGTTGAATCGGTGGTGTTCATATCCACATTTTGACTGAGATAATGAGCAATGACACTGCAAAGATTGAAATAGCAGGCGACATGAACATTTGTCAGCCCAAAAGAGGTACTCCACGGGGTGATCTTTCCGCCCAGTGTAGTCTGCTTAAAGTAATGGTAAATCTCAAGTATCATGGCCTGGCTAGAGGCTTGAACATTCGTTTCCAGTTGCAAGAACTGCAAAGACAATTCAAGTATGTCGGGTGACCATTCAAGCAGTTGTGAAACATGCGCTCCCCAATTCAAGGCACAGTAGGTAAACAGAGGATATTCTTCTTGTCTCTGGATGAAGCTTGAGTCACGACTGCAACGACCTGTTGAAAAGGCCCGGAAGCTGAGATAAGTGAGTGTAATCTTTGCAATATCCACTTCAGCCTCCCGGAGATAGTTGCTCTTCAATAAGTATGTCTTTGTGGTGTGATGTACCAAGCGAATGATACCAGTGTTTCGATCAAATATAACCAAGCCAGCACATATATTTCCAATCACTTCTGGGTCGGGAAATCCCTCCTGGTCAATGTCCCTCATTCCTGACTGGGTACCAATGGCGTGTACGAGCTGGTCAGCCGTAAGAGCTGTCTTGCTAAAGGTGAGCCAGGAAAGAGCCTTTAGCGCTATTTTAGACGCTGGCTCTTCACCTTCTGATTGCTCTTGCTGGGCCTCTCCTTCTTGAGATAGGATTCGTAGCATCACTTTATCATATGCCAGACTGAGACCGCTTGTCCCTCGAGGTAGTTGCATAAGGGCATTTTTTATTTGCCTGGCCGTAAGAAACCCCATCAAGTGATTCATATGTAGCTTCGCAAGTAAAAATCTGAATAAAGTCAGTGATTTCTAGAGGGAGTTTTGATAGCATATCTTACACTCCATCTGCGGCTCTGACAATCTCTGTTTGGATCTGCTGTTGAAATTCGAGTTTCTGGGATGCCTTGGGAACACGAAGCTGAGGCATTCTTCCTTTCACATACTGCGAGATATCGTCGTCATGGGCCCGTATTTCCTTTGATATGTACGGAGAAATGCGGGAGGAAATTTCTTCGTTATGGCGAGATGTCATGAAGAGCTTCACTCGTGGGTGTTCCCGAATTCTGCGCAGAGCATTGAAGAACGACACCGAGTCTTCTCGGTCTGTAGAGTAAAATTCATCAAGAGCATCTACGATCAGAAACACTGTATAATATGACTCAATGGCTTCCAAAATGGCTTCCTCTAACTCAGCTGGCCGAGGCCTAGTAGAGTGCAAGCTGTGGGTCTGGTGAAGTTTCAAAATGCATGGCAATAGGTCAGAATCGGGAGACTTGACTGCAAGTTGCCGAAGGAGGCTTTGTAAGAGGTCCAGCGTTGTCTGCCGATGTTTGGACTGATAGCTGCAAAATTCAAAGGCCACCTTGACGTTTAGATCGTTCTTGAAGGTCTTCTTCAAATGCTCGACAACGATCGATGACATAATTGTCTTGCCTGCGCCAGGTATTCCAGTGCAAAACAGTGTCTCATGTTGGACATCCCCATTTACCCACTGCGTGAACTCTTCTGAGTCTATGAGCCAGGTACCCGTCCCGTCTTGTCTGAGTCGAATGATGTCATTCTGTTGATCGACGAAGTCTATTGGACTGATCCAATCGAGAATCTCTCTCGTTTCTTTGGTCGTCACAAACTTTCCAACTTTTGTTACTTCGGTTTGAACTATCTCACATATTAATAAAAGTTTATCAAATTCCAGGTGAGTTGGAATCTATTAAAAATAAGCGATGAGGCATATCTAACCTTCTTGCACTTTCTCCAATACGGCCTTCACTGTCGGCTCTCCGTCCACATCTTTCGCCTGCACATTCTCTAAATACTCCTTTGCACATGCAGCTGCGACTGCCGCTGCATATGGTTGCCAGCGATCATTTTTATGAGAATCCGCATAGTCCGAGATTCCCCTGATCACCACGCAAGGGAAATTGTTCATGAGACCTGCAGCCTCCATTTCCAAGCAGAGAGCTCCATGCTTGACTCGGATATCATCGCGCAGAGCAGAATCTTTGACGACCATATTTCCCGACGCAATTGTCCCATAATGAATCACTGGACCATCGTCGAATCGGTCCTCTCGCTCTATAGTCTCGGAGTCGTCGCACTTCGAACAATTCTTCCCAGAAACATGAAGATATTCCGGCTTGAACAGACGATCCAGGGATTGATCAGGTTGAGAATATCCTTTCTTGCGCATGAATGGATGCTTCTCGATCATTTTTTCGACATATAACGGTATCTTGTTTTCTTGCATCTCATGCCGTGCCTGCATTGCCCCTAGAGCCGTGCTCAACGATCGAGGGGGCGGAGCCAGGGCAGATCGAGTTTCGAACGATCCATCAGCAAGTTTCTTGCCCAGATCATAAGCGATCACACCTCCAGTTTTAGAACTGCTACAGATGACAACATCCCCTAGGCGAATATCCTGTTCATCTTGACTCTCATAGTCAGGCAGGCCGGCGCCTATGCCAACACAAAGACCAATCCGAATATTGGGGAAAGTAAATAGCATATCCTTCACAGAAGCGGTAGCAGAAGAGGACCCAAGTTGGTCCTTTGGTAGTGAAGCAATGACAACTCGGAACTTTCCCATCGTCCCAAGAGTGTACCTATTCTGATCTGCCGCTGCGGGCGAACTCTGTGGCTCTCCGTGGTCGTCTTCCTCAATCATTCCCCTCGCTGCGGCTAGTTCGATGGGAAGAGCGCATATCCAGCCCACTGTGTACTCCTCGTTAGAGTATGGTGATGTTCTAGGGCTAGACATATTGTATAGGCGAGAGCTTTATCGCACAAATTCTCCCGTAGACATCAGTGCCAGATCAAATAAATGCAGCGGTGCAAGATGAAATATATTCTTCGAAAGAGGAACATAGTTACTAGGTACGTTCTAGCCCCGCAGTAAGGGCGACGTGGCATGGGGGCTAAATTATGCACGTTAACGCCCTCGGGATGATGTCGGGTAGAAATTCGTAGGACGTAGCCGCTGTGCAGCTATATTCTTTCTGCTGTACTTATATCCTGCAACTTTTGATATGTGGTTTGTCCTATAATAACCAACCTACCTAGGTAACAACATCTACAGCAAAAAAGGATGTCCATGAGACTAATACTAGTATTCAGTATGAGGTGTCAATGAATCCTGAGGTCTGATCAAGCATCTTCGCCTACTAGAGAGATTATCGTAAGCAACTTGAGATACTATTAACTTGGAAGTTCTCTCGAGCTTCTCCTAAGACCTCGGGATTAACAACATCTCAATACTCCGACTTCCAAGGTTTATAAGAATGAATAATGGATTCGTGGAAACACAATAAACCCTTGGGATTGACATGAGAATCGATCTCGTATCAAGTTACTAGGTTCGATAAGATATGGCCCAAGGTCTAAATTGAATACTTGCCATTTTCAAGTTGCTTGCACAATATTAAAGCCTTTAGTCCAACAGCTGCGGTCATGCCTACGGCATATAAAACCGGGCCTATTACCGATGAAGCCCCTACTACCTATGAGATTCTGGAATAACACTACGAAAGTAGAAAATATAACAGAATACAATCAATTTGGTTCTTTCTCTTATTATCAAATGCCGAGAAATAGCATGACTTCAAGAGGAAAGAGAAACCTCGCGTAGTAACCAAATATCAATTGCTCCCGGATGACATGATTACAGGATTTCGGGGCTGAAAGCTCGGTTGAAGAGCATTGACTTGCATAAGCTCTTTGATAATGCGAATAAATTTGTCCAATTAAAAACTTATCATGTTCACCTAAAACTGTACAGAAGTGGGATCGCCCCGGACTCGGGGCGGTACGAACCCGTACGAGAGTTACCGTGATAGAAAACTAAAGACCCACTGCGGGCTGGGAATTTTATCGTTCCACGTGTACGGAGTACTGAGTATGCACATAGTGTATATGGATAGTAATATGCAAAAAGCACCTACATACAGGTGGTAGATAAGACCGGGGGCGAAAGGCATTTTTCTGGTATATACTGGGATAGGTACGTTCGACCATGAGCCTCGTCAATAGGGGTAGGTAACAAATTGTTAACTTGAACTTGAACCGGGCATCCTTCACAATCGGACTCTGATCGCAAATCAATTGACAGGCTGTATACATACTACTCGTATATTTCAAAGTTGCAGTCAAGGGATCGCTTACTAGTAGTAATCCAATAGTCAAGCCTTTGGCTCGGCTGTACTCTTCGGCGCCAGTACTGCAAACATGGGAAATCGATTTTTAAGGAATTCGCTTAGCTCCGATCTCTCCTGTATTGAAAGCAGAGCTAAGCTCAATGAAGGTATTGCCAATTCGCCTACGTGGTCATCGGGCGCGGCCACGGAGCCAGGCTTCTTCCGAGGTCTTAGCTACAAAGTGCCAGACCCACAAGCGGGCTGGAAAGTCAGTTTTCTGGCTGCAGGATTATGAATTATGTACGACTTTCACTTATCAAAGTAGGTAAATAAACTCGTGATTGGTTTGTACTTTGGCCCGTTTTTCGAGAGAATATACTCTGAAAAACAACAGCTCTGGGATTTGAGTCTTCGTCACACCATCTCTATAGTAGTATCCAAGTTCACGGAAGTTGCATTGGCCCGAGTATAGGTGGAGCAACACGGAATTGACATTTCACGTCCCCACAAGTACGAGGACAGTGCGGCTTTTATCAACTGTCTTCGTATCTTATATTTGGTTAGTGACGGGAGAGACGCATTATCTGTCTCTTTATGGAGTATAGCATATACATTAGCTGTCGAGGTGATTCTGTCACAATAAATGATGTTGATTATAAAATTCGCTATCTAGTTCCATTACATTATCGCTTTATCGTTTACATGTTCATCTTCAAGTTGGGTGCCGGCTTCGTTCATCGGAGCCCATATTGTCCTCACGAGCACTAACATATCTAATTTAGGAGGAGTTTGAGTTATCAGCGCAGGTGAAAGTTCCGCCTATATTCAATTGATATTAGTAAATGGCAGCCGTCATGTTCTCGATTTTTTTCTCACGTACCAATGGTTCCATCAGCGTAGGCTGCTTTGATTTGGATGATAACGCCATAGGTTGCACCAACAAGGACGAATAGTCCAAGAAGCACCATTCCAATATGAAGAAGGAACTTAACCTTCTGCGTAAGAGATCCCTTGCGGTAGTGGCCATGGTCATGTAGCCAAAGTAAGCCAGGAAGGCATATGGCGAGCGGAGCAAAACATAAAGATCCAACTAAGGCAATGAGGTAGTTGAAAATCGGGATGGCTTCAGCAAGAACAAAAGATATGGCGCCCAGAGTTATCGTGCAACCGAGCCAAGTGCCCCAATGGGTAAGCGAGTTTGACTGCAAGTGACGTGTATTGCCCAGAATTCTGACAAAGAGGTACTTTGCTCCAACCTAGACAATAATTCAGTAAGACTTTCCACTTGCGCAGAGTATTGAGATACTAACGTGAAGATAGATTGTGGCACTGGCAACTAGTCCTATCAGAGCCACACCGTAGGACACCATCTTGACCGTTTGGCCGGCACTCTATAGAGATTATGTCAGTTATCACGTAAAAAATCGGATTTTTACGGCGGTGGACATATAATAATGACTTACCCCCAATGAAGGGCTAGCAACCCATTGTCCACACCAGCGGTAAACAACCAAACTGAAGGCAAGATAGGACGCCGTAACAAGCGCCATGCAGGGGTACAGAGCCTTCTTATAGTCTTTCGGGTTGCGCATCTCCGAGATGATGGGGAGAAAGGCGCTCGTGCCGGCAGAGGAGACAAATATAGTGCTTGAAGCGACCATACCAGCGGCAAAGCCTGGATTGTTGATGTTCACATAACCAAGCTCATAGGGACCAGTCTGGGGAGCGGCAGCAGGTCGGTCGCGTGTGGTGACACCGATGACAACGATTAGCACCGCAGCGTATATAGAGATAAAGCCAGCATATGTAAACCAGCCAATATGCGTGAACTTGCGGATCGATGCTGTGGCAACCGTGACTACCATGGCCAGGAATGACCACCAAACAGTACACGCAGAATGGTGTGAGAGGGCGTTCAAGGCTGTTGACACTCCGACGATTCCACTACCTGTGACAAGAACATAACCGACAATGAACACAAAGCCAGTGATTTCTTTGCCAATGGCACCACCGACCACCTCCATCATGTCTGCGACGGAATGACATTGAGGGCGACTCAGACGAAAATTTCCCATGATCACAAAGGCATATGTATTGAAGGCACCCCAGGCAACGATGCTGATTGCGCCGCCAACAGCTCCGAGGGAGAGTAGTGCAGCAGGTAGAGACAACACTCCTGTCGCGAAGAGAACCTTCACAAACAGGATGCATGCCTTGAACCAGCCGACGTTTCGAAATTGAACACCATCCTGGGTCTTTTTGAAAACCTCAAGCTCCTCGGCCGAGTCCGAGAGACTTGCGTTTTCAGCATCCGTAGATGTGAAGCCTACCTGCTCTTTGCTAGCCATTGTAGAATGATTTGAAGAATCCAAAATTTTTCGCAAGACAAGAGAAGAACAGAAGAAGAAATGCCTTGTTGGCGACAACCGCTCGCTCCGTTGCAGCCACGCGCTAGAAGACACCAATTGGAGCTCAAGCCTACTTTTTTTTATGAATTAGCTCGAAACGAGATCCTTCTCCGAGGAAAAAATTTTCCCCTTTCTTCATTGATGTTTTTAATATTTTATTTATTGATTTTAACTTTGTTCGGCTACAGTTGGTCGATGGGTCTTCATGCACGCACGGGCTAGCTGTATGCACTCGTATCGATCTAGTTTACTTCAACAGAATTACACTCCACATCTGCCGCAAAGGCCAATGGGGAATGACCCCTTCAACCCATTTCGACTGGACCCTCTGGGCTCTCTCAATCTTTGAAATCCACCCATTTTGTTAATTTTTTTCCCGTGTTGCAGAGTTCATGCATACTTTATGGTATCCGAGAAGGAACGCTGGACATCTGTCAAAAGAGTGCATCCTTCAAAGACCATGACCTTAACTAACCCCACCAGTGAGTGCGGCACGAAACCTTGATACCCTCTTTTACCCTATCTGTAGGCTGATTCTACATATAACTGAGCGAATGGGGTGTGCCTTGAGCTTCAAAAGGTTGGATATTCAGGAATGTGGAGATCGATCCGAACCACCATTAGAATGAATGGTTCAAACGGCGAACCCTCTCTGAGCAAATCATGAGTTCTAGATGAACAAAGCCTTTAGCACATTTCTTTGCGTTTGGGACACCTTTTCATGTATTATGAAACTCCCATCCCACCAACATTAGACATAAGTATCCAAAAGCCAGCTATAAAGACGGTCAGAACGATCACAAGATGATCTTATCTTTGACCTGGTCAGTATTCAAATTATAACGGGACCTCCAGCAATTGTAAGAGAGTAAAATGGATGTATTCTTATGCCAGGGCTTTATAGGGGGTGGCCGATCTACGAATTCCTGCCATTGTGGTTACGTGGGTCCCGAAGTCTCTGTATGAACCTTCAAGTTGCTTATCTGACGCCGACAATGTTCGCGAGACGTTATGTTCTTTGGGTCTTCCGGTAGAGCCGGTCCCTTCAAAATTTTAGCTTTCTTGTATGATGGTATGCTACCTAGATAGGTATGTAGGTACTAGTATGCGGTTTAAATTTTATAGTAGTCCACAGGTGTCTTTCCAATTTCTGCTACTAGTATGCCGAGGTGATTTTTTATTCGGTTGGATAGCCTATATCATAAGGTGGTAACTACTACTAGCTATTGCTAGTAAGTACTATTGATTGGATACTAGTAGTACAGCTGTTGATGATCCAAACTTTGAACCATTCCAAGGTTTATATAGAGATCTATCTGGTACGAGAACCTAGTCTATATTCTAGATATTACCTACCTAGGTAGGTAAGGGAGAGAAAATTGAGGGTGAGGCTATTATTGATGCCTCCAAAGATGTATATTGTACAGAGGGGAGAGATTTATAGAACTAAAGATCGCGTGAAAACCACACGGACACACAACCCAGACGCCTTCAGTCATGCAGAAAGTGTATCATACAGATCCAGGTGACGATGGTATACCAAGGAAGACAATTTTTTCCGGGACAAACAGCCAGCCGTATCCCATCCGAGTGACCCCCAATCGTGATCATCAAGTGACTTATGGTACAGAGAGAAAGAAGAAAGAAACGGGCATTAATGTCGAGAGGGAAGGGTGAAGAGGAAGAGGAGAGGTTGAACAAGATTAGTTGTTCTTGGCGACGCCAACCTTGGCAGCGCGGAGAATACGTCCATTGAGACGGAAGCCCTTGCTCTGGACGTACATGACAGCGCCGTCATCGTGGTTCTCGGACTTGGCCATGAAGGTGGCCTCGTGCAGGTTGGGGTCGAACTTCTGGGGCTTGCCGTCGACCAACTCGCCGGGGTCGAAGCGCTCAAGACCGTGCCTCTCAAGGGTGTTCATGAGGATGTTCTCGGTCATCTTCAGGCCGGCGACGAGATCGAGCAGGTCTTTGTTCTCCTCAGTCTCGGCAGCGGTGAGCTTCTCCGCGGGCACGGCCAGCAGCGCGCGGTCGAAGTTATCAATGCTCTCGAGGAGGTCCTTGGCGAAACCCTGGATAGCGAACTTTTTGGCACCATCCATATCACGCTTGCTGCGCTCTTGCTGGTTACGGGCGTCGGCGACGGAGCGGAGGTATTTGTCCTAAGAAACGTGTTAGTGGCCGGGCTAAGAATAGATGCATTGGGTACCAGGCGGGATAGCTTACCTTCAGGTCAATGATCTCCTTCTCCTTCTCCTCGATCTTCTTTTGGGCTTGCTCTAGGGGGGGGTCTCCTCAGCAGCCTCGCCCTCCTTAGGAGCATCCTTCTGCTCCGGCTCGGTAGAGTAGAAGCGGCCACGGGGCGCAAATCCCTGGGCGATGGCGGGTAGCTGTGTTTGGAAGCGCGATGCCGGGCGGAGGGCAAGCGGAGTAACGGTTGTGGAGGTGATGGTGGCTAGAGGTGACCGGGCGGCCCGGGCCTGTCTGAGGAAAGTCCGTTGGAACATTGTGAATTTTGGTGAGGAATTGGTATAAGGTGTGATGAATAGAAGAAGGATGGAGAATCGGATAGAGAGCCGGGTATAGCTTGATCGACGGGCAAATTTCATCTGTCATCACCTGACCGCCTAGCACCGGGCGCCCGGTTTTCCCGGGCTGCATACATGCTCACCTGCCCCAATAGGCATCGCGACTTGGCATTCGATAGAACTAAACGAAGTACGTTTATGACAACCTAGGTACCTGAGTAGCTTTCTATAAGGCCCTAGGTATTTGGAATAATCGGTTACCCTTTCTTATACCAACCTCTTTTAGAGATTCCGGAGGAGAGTTATAGTACTGTACAGTATTTATGACAATATAGAAACAGCTTCTATCGTACACGCTCAGTTTCCTCTCATCACCTCAATTCAACTCCAAAACCATCAACCAATTGCTTCCGGACTTGGTCATGCATCTCATTAGCTTCCTCGTTCGTCAAAGTCCGTTCCAAACTGCGATAGTTGATACGGTAGCACATGCTCTTGCGCTGAGTCTTCGGGTGAGTGAATTCATCAATCAACGAAACATCTTCCACAAGATCACCGCCAATTCCACGAACAATTTCCATGACATCGTTCTCGTGGAATGGAACAGCGCCGCCAGCGGCACTGCTGCCGCCGGTAACAGCGGAGGGGGAACCCAGAAGGCAACGTCCTTGTAGCAGGCCGGGTGCTTAGAGAAAGGTTCGAAGCGGGTGATTTCACCAGCACGGAACTGGGACAGGAAACGCTCGTCGCGAGACCAGAAAAGACGGATATCGGGGATGTTGAAGAGGAGCATGGCAATACGCTCGATTCCCAATCCGAAAGCCCAGCCAACTCGGTGAGGAACGTCGGAGTTGATGAGCAGGTTTTGCTGAATCACACCACATCCAAGGATCTCGAGCCATTCGCCCTGCCAGAAGACTTCGAGTTCCCATGATGGGCTGGTGAAAGGGAAGTAGGCTTCCACCCAGCGCACCTTCAATGGCTCGGGTTCGACGTCGCTTCCAGAGCTTGCGGCGGCGGCCTTGCTAGCTTCGGTGAAGACCTTGATGACCATACGCTCGAGCGAGCGCTTCAGATGTGCCCCAATTGCTTCGACTTCCTCCGCACTGTGATGCTCTGCCTGTAGGGGGTTCCGTTGGGGATGGATGGTCGGGTTTGGATCCTCGACTGGGACATTGTGGCTTGGAATGAGATCGATATCCGCTCTTATCTTGGCCGCTGTTTCGGAAGATGAAGCAAGCGGGTTGTTCTCAGGTCGCTTCCACAGCATGGCACCCTCCATCTGGTGGAAAACCGGATAGTGGCTGCGATCAATAGCGTCACGGCGGTAGACATCGGCAATCACGGTGTATCCAACTTCCTCCGGGCGAGTTTGTTCATTTCGATTGAGTTGTTGGAAGTACGCTTGCTGATGCGCGCTTGTGTGGGTACGCAACACGGTTTTGTCATTGACATAGTAGGTGTCGGTGCGGCTGCGACCGGGGTGGTCCGCTGGAAAGCCGAGAACATCGAAATTTTGAGCAGTCGTAACCACGGGGTTCTTTTCGAGGTAGTTTCCAAAGACGGGAGCGGGGAATTGGCTTTCGATAAGCTTGCGGGTGATAGCCAGAGGGTGGTTTTCATCGAGGTACAATCGTCGTCCAACATGCGACAGAATTTGGTCCGTGGTATTGGTCCATTGATCTGTCTTGTATGCGTCGCCTTCGATTTTCAGGCTGGTGGGCTGCTTCACTTGTCCGGTGGACTGGGTATTCCAGCGAGCTGGGGTTGAGCTCCAACTCCGAGAGATGGCTGAAGTAGACCTATGTAGCAGGTATGTGCGGGGGATGGTGATCCTGGATTGAGTTGCGGCAATTGACCAGCGACCACTGCTGGCCCTCAGGACTCGGCCAGTAGCAAACAACCGCATGGCTAAAAGCTGAATCACCTCACTCGGTCGTCAAGGTTGCGACCATGCGATGCGGTCTCCGCGGAACCTCAAAACATCTCGGCCCGGGGAAACAAGTCGCCGATATACTGGCATCTCCAAGTTGCCTAGATGGTATTTACACGGCTTTCTATTTCTGAACTAATATGTTCAATTAATCACTGGTATGTATTTAGATATTTTGCTTATTTGTATGTCTAGGTACTAATATTTCTAGAAATTTAAATTGAAGGGACCGTGATTCGGCTGATAGTAGTTACTCCTAGTAATACTCAGATATTCTATCTGGGTAGATATATATCTATCTAGGTATGTAGTGGTAATAGTAGCATTATTACTACTAGTTTCTTTTCAATATACCAACCTTGGAATTTGAACTCGAACTTGAACTTGAATGGTCCAAATTACCTTCCAAGGTTGTTACCTGACATCCAGTACTGAGGTCCCTCAAGTTGACACAAAATATCAAACTTTAATGTACTGTACGAGGGGTTCCTCGTCCCTCGGTAATGCACCCGACCGCCCAACTTCCCGCAATTCCACCGAAGATATCCGTCCGCCCGCCGTTTTCCCCCCTTGACCTCATTTATGCCCACTGGGCAGGTGTCAACCTACTAGTAAGATATTTAAACATTATCTAGACAAATTAGTCTGAATTATCGCGATCAAATCTGATCAGCGGTCTTCGGAACCCAGTTCAAGGGCCGATTTCGAGGAGCAGCTGGCAGAGGATATGAGAGAGGGTTTTGGTAAGACCCTTACAGGCTGTATGACTATCGGATTCAAAAGAAACCCGAGTCTATCATTGGGCTGAAAGCCCAAAAACCCGCTCCGGACTCCAGAGGAGAGCCTGTGATTGGTCATGAGACGCCGCTCGGCTCCTCTCGCCGAGCGGCGCTTCGGCGGCCTGATTTGTGTCCGCGGTATTGGCGATCCAAAATTACGTCAAATGCCCTCGACCTGAAAAAAAGAATCAACTTGCTTTAAATCATCCACTCTTTCCCCCACTCCCCTCCCTCTCCACCCCACCCCTCCCCTACGGCCCTCGAGTTCTTGTTTCCCAGAAACAAGATGGCAGACAGCGGCAAGTTGCTCGAGGCTCCTGCCCATGCGCGGGTGGCGTCCGTTAAGACGCCTGCGCAAGCCAAGCCGAAGAAGGTGGTGCATTACCCATTTTGGTTTGGAGGTTCGGCCTCGTGCTTTGCGGCCTGTGTGACACATCCTTTAGATCTTGGTATGTGACCTAGTGTGCCATCTGCTTGCTGTCTTGAATACTTTCATACTAACCCTCTGGCTGCAGTCAAGGTATCTTCTCAGCTCTCGGAGTTTTGTCCGAACTATTCGCCCCTTCCTCAATCATTACTGATATGATGCTTTGTCGCATTACAGGTCCGGTTACAAACGCGCACACCGGATGCGCCGAAGAGTATGATCGGAACATTTGGACATATCGTCAGGCATAATGGGGTTACCGGACTTTATGGTGGTGTATGTTGTGAACTTGGTCCCGATTTCAACGGCGACTATAACCAGTTGCGGAAATTGTTTGAGTTGAGAGCTAACTTATTTTTGATTGCGCCCAATAGCTTTCGGCCGCTATGCTACGCCAAATAACATACTCCACAACTCGATTTGGCATCTACGAAGAGATGAAGAGCCGCCTTTCAAAACCCGACTCGGGCTCCGCCTCTTCCTCACCCGGATTCTTGACCCTCATTGGCATGGCCTGTACCTCGGGCTTCATCGGCGGAATTGCGGGCAACCCAGCCGACGTGCTCAACGTGCGCATGCAGTCCGACGCTGCGCTGCCAGTGGAAAAGCGTCGCAACTACAAACACGCCTTCGACGGTTTGATCCAGATGACCCGACAAGAAGGATTCGGCTCGCTCTTCCGCGGCGTTTGGCCGAACTCGACTCGCGCAATCCTCATGACTGCGTCGCAATTGGCCTCTTATGATTCCTTCAAGCGTGTCTGCATCGAGTCATTTGGCATGGGCGATAATCTGGGCACCCACTTCTCCGCATCTTTCATGGCTGGCTTTGTCGCAACCACTGTCTGCAGTCCTGTTGATGTTATCAAGACTCGGATCATGACCGCATGCCCGATTGAGAGCCGTGGCCACACCACAATTGGCTTGCTGCGCGATATTTGCCGCAAGGAAGGTTTCGCCTGGACTTTCCGTGGGTGGGTTCCTAGTTTCATCCGACTGGGTCCTCATACCATTGCCACTTTCCTTTTCCTGGAAGAGCACAAGAAGCTGTACCGGAAATTGAAAGGTATCTAAACATCTGGTATAGAGTTGACTGTTCTTCAAACCCCATCTTCGCCCCCTTCCCGCAAGCTCATCGTTTCCAACATTTGTTCCCCTGCGCACCATCTACTCTTCACATATCACCCATCTAAACGACATCGATTTTCTCTTACGACTACATGGGTGGGACATCTGTGGAACATGAGCAATTTTTCTGCTTGTATATATCTTGCATTTTCGTTGAGCTGGTTATTTTTTCCCCAGCAGTTAGTTAGAACGCCTGGACAGCTTGCGCTATTTTTCTTGCACAGGGTGTGTTGGATGAGATTTCTTATACTCGGAGACTGAAACTACATAGACATAGATCGCACCCCGAATCGCACAAGACCATTTTCCGCAAGGAATTATCCTGCTTTTCTTTAGTACTATAGTACCTACTACTAGGTAGTTACAAAACGTAAGTCAACTGTACTGATCACTATTACTACCTAGGTAGTAATCGTAATTGCGCACTTGTATCCTCTCAGTTGAGAATTACTCGGCTCCGAGTCACCTTCTGGTCACATCTCACAAATTAGATTTACTAATAGATCGAGAAAGAATCATTTAATCAAGCACGGTTCGAGAAAAAAACGGTGAGTATGAACACCCTTTCTTCATCAGAGTGGAAGTTACATCCAGACAGAAAGGAAATGTATCCCCGCATGACCAGGTAGAGTACATTGGAAAGTTTGTCAATACAGAAGTTTGCTATAATTCACCAACACAAAGCGGCCACTGGCTATCTATTTGTCAAGGATAGCAGGGAAGTTGCCGCCCTCTGAAACAGAACATGTATTAGCATGCGAATAAGGGTCAATCTCATTAGGGAGGTCAGGGTACGTACCGCGCTGGCCGTCCCAGCGGTCAGTCCAGGCCTTGGGGCAGAGGGAGCGGAAAGCGTGGTAGAACTGTAGTAGAGCGTGTTAGTGCGCGTTCGGCGTAGTGTAGGTAGGAGGGGAAATGCGAATGTACCTGCTTGCAGGGACGGAAGTCGTCACCCTTGGCCTCGACACACTTGTAGTAGTCGACATAGTTCTGCCAGCAGTGCTTGGTCCTGAGAGGAGTCGAGTTAGAAGCGGCACTAGAATTGATTCGAGGTTCAGGGAGTCGCGTACTGGTTCTGCTGGGGGAAACGAGCGTCGTAACCTATAATTGCGCCGAAAATTGTCAATCTCCAGTCCCGTAGTCGGTCGGGCCACACTTGGCCGAAGGTATCCCGAAGGTATCCCGAAAACCGATCACGTCGCAAGATTATCGAAGGTATACGCACCAGCTGTAGATCAATTAGCCATTGGACTTGTAGGAGGGCCGGTTGAAGGCCATTTTCGCGGGAGGGGGGGGGTGCACTTACCAGTCACGAACTTGAAGGGCTTGGTCTCGACAGGCTCCTCGGGGTCGTGTTCCGGAATAGCACCCATTTTTGCGATGTGTAGGATCTCGTGAAAACCACGGACGAGCGATTGGTAAAGGCGTGGGGGGAGGAGAGAGGGAGGTGGGAAGAGAGCAAATACAAGACGTTGGGTGATCGAAGCTGTGAAGTGGTAACCGGCAATGACCGGGCGGTGGGAAGCGAGAGCCAATCAGCGCCGAGTAGTTCCCAAAACACCCGAGCCACTCACAGGACGTCGACGTTCTGAGCTACCACTTTCCAAGTCTTCCTCCCACCTCTCTCCTCAACTCAACGCCCTCGGTTGAACTCGTCACCATGTATCCCACCAGTGTCTTCCGGATGCAGCCCTCGCGGGCTTTCTACAGCCCCGCCCCTGTAAGTATACCAACACCCGACACCCTTGGGTGATCATACGATCGGCTTCGGTTATGCTAACTCCTGGCTGCAGAAGGAGGCTCACAGCGGTATGCTGACTCCCTAATCGCCCGCCACCTCTCGCAATCAATTGCGCAGAGTACTCTTGTCGCAAGAGTCCAGAAAGAATACTCAGACTGACCGGTTATACCTTTAGCCCACACCATCTCCCAGCGTCTGCGCATGATCAAGAAGTGTCCTCCCGAGCTGATTCCCCTCGGTATGTTATACTACGTCGAAATGCCTACGAAGGGATGATATCTAACGATTCTTTTCACATATAGGCATTGTTCTTGGGTATGTATTTGTCTAGTTCCGCTCGCCCGTTCCATCCTGCCCTGCATCAGACCGAATTTTCTCCCCACGACACCCTTGGGCCGGATCTGGAACCTTGATAGTTTCTCCTTGCTAACCCGCTTCTTCGCAGCGTTGCTGTCGGTGCCGCTATTTACGCTAGCACCAAGAAGCTGCTGACCGACAAGACTCTCCGTCTCTCCCGCAACAGCCCTGAGAGCCACGATCACTAAATGTACCATCATCTTTCTTTGAGCTCCGAGAATGCGAACCCAACTTTTTTGAATTCTCTCGATTTGTATTGTTTCAGTCGATTGGAAGCCCGGTTAAAAGGATTTGGAGAAAGTCAAGACCTGCTCGGAACCGCAGATTGTGTAAATAGTCGGGCTTCGCGGAGGTGAATTTCAGACGGTGTACTTTTTTTCCCCGCAGTAAACCATCTTTCGTGGTTGTTCATTATCTTCGTAGCTATCGTTATACTTGGCTTCACTCAGGCTTCGGCCCAGCCACATCAAGTTGCTCGAGACCCTCCATTGGATCTTGAGGACGGTCATTCGCGGCCTGTGCTTCCTCTGTGGCGAGGCGGTCCT